GCAACACACAAGCCAAAACTGACACGGTTTGAAAAGGGTCGATAACTTGCTGGTGCAACACACAAGCCAAAGCTGACACGGATTGAAAAGGGTCGATAACTTGCTGGTGCACTACACAAGCCAAAACTGACACGGATTGAAAAGGGTCGATAACTTGCTGGTGCAATACACAAGAAACTGACACGGTTTGAAAAGGGTCGATAACTTGCTGGTGCAATACACAAGCCAAAACTGGCACGGTTTGAAAAGGGTTGATAACTTGCTGGTGCAATACACAAGCCAAAACTGACACGGTTTGAAAAGGGTCGATAACTTGCTGGTGCAATACACAAGAAACTGACACGGTTTGAAAAGGGTCGATAACTTGCTGGTGCAATACACAAGCCAAAACTGGCACGGTTTGAAAAGGGTTGATAACTTGCTGGTGCAATACACAAGCCAAAACTGACACGGTTTGAAAAGGGTCGATAACTTGCTGGTGCAATACACAAGAAACTGACACGGTTTGAAAAGGGTCGATAACTTGCTGGTGCAATACACAAGCCAAAACTGGCACGGTTTGAAAAGGGTTGATAACTTGCTGGTGCAATACACAAGCCAAAACTGACACGGTTTGAAAAGGGTCGATAACTTGCTGGTGCAATACACAAGAAACTGACACGGTTTGAAAAGGGTCGATAACTTGCTACACAAGCCAAAGCTGACACGGTTTGAAAAGCATCGATAATGCTGGGTGACCTCGGTTCGATTGTCAATGGGGGCGGTTCGGTTCTTGTAGCATTGAATTGAATCTTTCAGAAGTGTCATTCGGTTCCGGTCGATTCGTTTCCTATGATTGTGTCGGTTCGGGCCCCATAGACTTTCGATTCCCACCCCATCGAGCAACAATGTCGCTACTGAAGGCATTCATTCGCCTTCCATACCAAGATCGGTATAACATATTGTATTACATAAATATATATATATATAGATATATATATATATATATAAATATACAAACACAGTATACATATAAATGCATATATATATATAGATATATGTTTCAGACCCGTTTCAGACCTCGCTCAGGCCTGCCGAAAGCCAGTGTGCGGCATGGAAGTATATGTCAGGCCCATATCAAAAATCCGCCACAGTCCGGGTTGTGTGAGATGGGACGGCGCGCCCCCCGAATGTCAGGACCTCCAAACAGCGTGGCACGTCCGGAAAAAGTTGGAGCGCGCCGCTGGAAGCAACTTGGAGTGCGCCGGCTTGGGGTGCCCGGAAATGTTCGCACACAAGCAGGCCCAAGTCCCTCTTCTCGATGTTCCTGAATTGCGTTTTTTTCTTTCTTTCTTTTTCTTCTTCAAATGGCGTCTGAACCGGTCTGAACCAGGTCTGAAACCTGTTTGAAACATCGGAAACGAGCCTCCCAACTCCTGTTCGCCTGTCTTGAGAAGGCTCTCAGAACGTGCCCCCCGCACAGGGAAGTGTCAGGGCCTACCCCCAGAAAAGCTCGAAGAATTTCCGCGGATGGGAAGGAGGATTTCTAAGGAAGGGAATCTTCCTTCCGGCAAGTCTTGGAAAGAGGGCTTAAGTGCTGCAGGAGAGTGCAGGGAAAAATGATTCTGAATTTAATTCTGTCAGGGTCTCCAAACAGCATGGGACATCCGGAAAAGTCCGGAACATCTCCGGAAACAACGTGTAGTGCGCCGGCTTGGGGCGTCCGGAAATGTTCGCAAACAAATACGACTCCCCCGCACAGGGAAGTGTCAGGGTCTACTCCCGGAAAAACTGGAAGAATTTCCGGGGATGGGAAGGACGGAAAAACAGAAGGGAAGGAAGGGCAAGGGATTGGGGTCAGACCAAATATGTCAAGGTTAAGTCTTGGAAAGAGAGCTGCTTGCCACTTAAGTGCTGCAAGAGAGTGCATGGAAACATGGGTCCAAACAGCATGGCCCGGAAAAAGTCCGGAAGCAACTTGGAGTGCGCCGGCTCCGGGTGCCCAGAATCTCAAGCAGGCCCAAGTCCCTTTTTTCGATGCGCCTGCTTCTCGGGGCTGTTCAAAAAGCGCTTAAACCGGTCTGAAACCAGGCTGAAACAGCGGAAATGATCCCCCCCAACTCCTGTTCGCCTGCCTTGAGACGGCTCGAAACGCAGCAAGAGCCCAGTCCGAAAGAATCCCCCCGCACAGGCCGCACGGGGAAATGTTTAATGGGTCTACCCCCGGAAAAATTGGGAGAATTTCCGGGGATGGGAAGGAGGATTTCTAAGGGCGTGAAAGGAAAGGGGTAAGACCAAATCGGTCAAATTTCTTCCTTCCGGCAAGTCTTGGAAAGAGGGGCGCAGTTTGAAAAGGTTGATAACTTGCTGGTGCAACACACAAGCCCAAGCTGACACGGTTTGAAAAGGGTCGATAACCAAATCTGACACGGTTTGAAAAGGGTCGATAACTTGCTGGTGCAATACACAAGCCAAAACTGACACGGTTTGAAAAGGGTCGATAACTTGCTGGTGCAACACACAAGCCAAAACTGACACGGTTTGAAAAGGGTCGATAACTTGCTGGTGCAACACACAAGCCAAAACTGACACGGTTTGAAAAGGGTCGATAACTTGCTGGTGCAACACACAAGCCAAAGCTGACACGGTTTGAAATGGGTCGAGAACTTGCTGGTACAACACACAAGCCAAAACTGACATGGTTTGAAAAGGGTTGATAACTTGCTGGTGCAACACACAAGCCAAAACTGACACGGATTGAAAAGGGTCGATAACTTGCTGGTGCAATGCACAAGCCAAAGCTGACACGGTTTGAAAAGGGTCGACGGTGCAATACACAAGCCAAAGCTGACACGGTTTGAAAAGGGTCGATGACTTGCTGGTGCCATACACAAGCCAAAACTGACACGGTTTGAACAGGGTCGATACCTTAATGGTGCCATACACAAGCCAAAACTGACACGGTTTGAAAAGGGTCGACAACTTGCTGGTGCCATACACAAGCCAAAACTGACACGGTTTGAAAAGGGTCGATAACTTGCTGGTGCAATGCAGAAGCCAGAGCTGACACGGTTTGAAAAGGGTCGATAACTTGCTGGTGCAACACAAGCCAAAACTGACACGGATGGAAAAGGGTCGATAACTTGCTGGTGCACTACACAAGACAAAACTGACACGGATTGAAAAGGGTCGACAACCAAGCCAGAGCTGACACGGTTTGAAAAGGGTTGAAGACTTGCTGGTGCAACACACAAGCCAAAACTGACGGTTTGAAAAGGGTTGGTAACTTGCTGGTGCAATACACAAGCCAGAACTGACGCGGCTTGAAAAGGGCCGATAACTTGCTGGTGCAATGTTTGAAAAGGGTCGAGAACTTGCTGGTGCAATACACAAACCTGAGCTGACACGCTTTGAAAAGGGTCGATAACTTGCTGGTGCAATACGACCCTTTTCAACCCGTGTCAGTTCTGGCTTGTGTTTGGCACCAGCAAGTTATCGACCCTTTTCAATCCGTGTCAGTTTTTGCTTGTGTATTGCACCAGCAAGTTATCGACCCTTTTCAATCCGTGTCAGTTTTGGCTTCTGTATTGCACCAGCAAGTTATCCATGCTTTTCAAACCACAAAAGTTCTGGCTTGTGATAACTTTCTGGTGCAAGACACAAGCAAAAGCTGACACGGTTTGAAAAGGGTGGATATCTTGCTGGTGCAACAGACAAGCCAAAACTGACACGTTTTGAAAAGGGTCGATAACTTGCTGGTGCAATACACAAGCCAAAACTGACACGGTTTGAAAAGGGTCGATAACTTGCTGGTGCAATGCACAAGCCAGAACTGACGCGGTTTGAAAAGGGTCGATAACTTGCTGGTGCAACACACAAGCCAAATCTGACACGCTTTGGAAAGGGTCGATAACTTGCTGGTGCCATACAGAAGCCAAAACTGACACGGTTTGAAAAGGGTCGATAACTTGCTGGTGCAATACACAAGCCAAAGCTATCACGGTTTGAAAAAGGTCGATAACTTCCTGGTGTTCGCTATACACAAGCCAAAACTGACACGGTTTGAACAGGGTGGATAACTTGCTGGTGCACCACACAAGCCAAAACTGACACGCTTTGAAAAGGGTCGATAACTTGCTGGTGCAATACACAAGCCAAAGCTGACACGGATTGAAAAGGGTCGATAACTTGCTGGTGTAATACACAAGCCCAAACTGACACGGTTTGACAAGGGTTGATCACTTGCTGGTGCAATACACAAGCCAAAACTGACACGGTTTGAAAAGGGTCGATAACTTGCTGATGCAATACACAAGCCAAAACTGACACGGTTTGAAAAGTGTCGATAACTTGCTGATGCAATATACAAGCCAAAACTGACACGGTTTGAAAACGGTCGATAACTTGCTGATGCAATACACAAGCCAAAACTGTCACGGTTTGAAAAGGGTCGATAACTTGCTGATGCAATACACAAGCCAAAACTGACACGGTTTGAAAAGGGTCGATAACTTGCTGGTGCCATACACAAGCCAAAACTGACACGGTTTGAACAGGGTCGATAACTTGCTGATGCAACACACAAGCCAAAACTGACACGGTTTGAAAAGGGTCGATAACTTGCTGATGCAATACACAAGCCAAAACTGACACGGTTTGAAAAGGGTCGATAACTTGCTGATGCAATACACAAGCCAAAGCTGACACGGTTTGAAAAGGGTCGACAACACACAAGCCGAAACTGACGGTTTGAAAAGGGTCGATAACTTGCTGATGCATTACACAAGCTAGAACTGACACGGATTGAAAAGGGTCGATAACTTGCTGGTGCAATACACAAGCCAAAACTGACACTGTTTGAAAAGGGTCGATAACTTGCTGATGCAATACACAAGCCAAAACTGACGGTTTGGAAAGGGTCGATAACTTGCTGATGCAATACACAAGCCAAAGCTAACAGTCTCACACACGGCCCGAGCGGACAGCGGGCAACTTTCGATGGGCAAAGCCTCTCGTCCGAGGCTTGGCGGCGCAGAGGCCAGCACGCGCCAGGCAGACACCTTCGCCTGTCACCTTCGTTCTGCACTGAACCAGTGATGTCCATGTGAGAATTGCTGCTTTCAGCTTTGCTTGCCCAGATGCTGCTGGGGCTATCCATGCTGACACCATCTCCATATCCATTCCTGCACACAGGCCAGGGGCAAGACGGGAGGTTGAAGCGACTGCATCATCCAATGCCGTTTTGACAGGGCAGGTGGTATTTTAGGCTTTTCTTTTCTGCCTTGATCCTGCGACCAGCATGTCGCAGGAATCGATGCAACAGGATGCCATACAGGTGAATTAGAGACAGATACTCAGACCGAGATCTCTGGGATTAGACTGCTTCCAATCTGCGCAGGATGGATTGCCGACTGCACGAGTTTCAACCCTTCACCCTCATGCGTGACTCTCAGGTAGCAACTGGTTATTCGGCTTGACCGAGGGTGCATGATCAAAAGACCTGCTCACATGGGTTGGTAGGCCTGGTCATGGATCCTTCGTAGCATGATATCGGATTTCGACTTCCCATGTACTGAGTCTTGATCCTGCTGATCACTGCAGAGATGGGTTTCCTTGGCCATATTTTTCCATGCAATTGTTTGCGAATGCAAGGTCTCACCGCATCCACCTGATTTTGGCGCGGAAGAAGATCAGCTTTGCAACCTACTTTGGCCGCTTCAGTTGCAATCTGGGGGATGAGCTGCAGATGAATGCACCTGAGTGAATGCATCATCATTCAAATCTTAGATATGAGTTTCATGTTGCACGCCAAAGGTTGGACTTTGTTGCAAGACTTCGCTGAGCAGGCATAAAGCTATGCAACATCAGCATGGCCCAAGCATGTTGACGCTGACGGTGATTTGTACGAGACGAGCCAGCCCACGAGTGACCCCAGGCCTTTTTTGCCATTGCTGTCCAGCACCAGGGCTTTCCCACCATTGCTGTTCTGCAGATCCATTTTTGGACCCGAAAAGCCGCCAGTCGAGGATCACCTTGTGGATCTTCTTTTGAGACCTTTTTCGGCTAATCCACGAGTGATCGTCTCCAAGTCTCCATGGATATACCTGGTGCCTCAGAGCACTTGAGCCACAATCAAAACCAACCACAAATAGTTGCGCCCGCCTTCTTAATTCTTTACGTGGTTCTGGGTAGACCATTTTTATGCCGGGTTTTGATTACTCGCTTGAGATGGATGGTTTGGATGTCTTCCGGTTTGTGGCGCCTGGCTTCCGTCTCGTCGCTCGGCTGAGGTCTGCAGGTTGGGGACGCGCTGGTGGAGTTCCAGCAGCGGGATGCCTCGGAGCCGCGGCAGACTTCGGAGAGGGGAGCTGGGCGATGCAGTGGGTACATGCAGTGGGTTTTTGTAAGTATTGGGTTTTCATGAAACAACACCCTGTTCAAGACATTCGGTTTGTAGTCAACATGAGGGTCAACATGGTTTGACGCCTCAAGTTCTTTTTTTCAGCTGTCGAATATATGGAATTTTGACTTCAACACTACACCATAGTCCGGAGTCGGACGTTTTCTTGGCAGCTGCCCAGGGCTATGTTTTTGGTAAGGAGGGCGGGTGTCGTTTTCAGGAGGCCTTCCTTTTGCTTTCCCATGACAAGAAATCAATAAACAGGGTACTCTCAAAACAGACACCCATTTCTTGAAGTAGTTTTTGTGACCATTCGAATCTTTCATGTTTCAATTGTTGCATGTGAATGACAGGCCGTTGAACGGCGTCCTGTTCCACGAAACTCAGTAACACACTTTGGAATGTTGATCATGGACAGGAATATGTGCTATGGCCATGGTCGGAAGACCCATTTTTTGTTGGGAGAAGTAGGGACCATTAGCTACTTGGTAATTCTTTCAGAGAATTCAAGGAGCCAGGTGCCAGACGCTGACACCAGGTCCAGTCCAATTTGATCGCTGGATTGATACGCCAACAAGAGGCCATCGTTCTTTTTTCCCATGTTGACAAGAAGCCGAGCTGCCGAAGGATGCCAAAGTCTTCTGGTTAGTTGCCCTTCACAGTCATCTCTTCTCAGGAACTCTCCACTGGCGAACTTAGTGACCTGGCAAGACCGCTTTTTGTGATCAGATTTACAACCACGTGCCAGATGCTGAGGGCTTGTTGCTAAGGGCGGCTTGCATCACCAACCATCATGACCTTTGCCAGAGGGACACGGGAGGACGTGGAGGAGGTCACAGCGATTCGGATACAAGCCGTTTGGCAGCTTGGCCGAAGTGGTTTGCTTGGCCGCCTCGGTCCCCTTTGTGTTCACGGGGTGAGAACATCTCGTAATGTTAACCCCGGATTAATAAACCCCTGGCTGATTTTGATTGGGGGGTATCACGTTTTTGTGGGGATTCAGACCGCTTTTGGAGGGAACACCCCCCAAAAAATGGGACGGGTTTATGAATCCTGGGTCAACATTGTTGTCATTTACAACTGGAGCAAGCCCACTGCTTGCAATGGGGAAGAGACCACGCTGAGGCGCGGGCATGCCAGCCGTGAAAGAGGTGTCCAGCCTGGCACCCAAACTGAGAAAGTGGAGGGGGCGGTGGGAGGTCCAGGTAAGTTTGGCCGTGAAATTGGGCAGATTGGTAGGAAAAGAGGGCTGAAATGGCAAACATGCTTGGTTTTTGCAAGAGGACGTGCGCGCTCCAAGTTCTCAGGCCCTTTCTCCAGGACTTTCAGATCACGGCAAGTGCCGGCCCCTTGGGCTTGACGACGGAGCTGCCCCCCTTGGACCGCCTGGCGGTCCAAAGCGTCCAGCCGGGCGGCTGGGCGGAGACTGCCGGAGTGCGGGCCGGCGACTTGTTGCGCGCGCTGAACGACGTCAGCGTGGACGAGCTGCCCCCCGAGGAGTTTGTCCGCCTCGTGGAGTTTGTACGGCCGCTGTCCATGGCTTTCTCTCGCAAGATATGTCGAGCGCAAGTTGCGTTGAAGCAGGCATTCACGGTGGAAGCAAATGAGAGCGTGGGGCGGTTGGGATTCAAGCCTGACAGTTTGCCGCCTGTAGAGCGGATGCTTGTCAAGACCGTGGATGCTGGTGGCTGGGCAGAGGGGGCTGGAATTCAAGCAGGAGATGCCTTGCTGGCCGTAAATGACATTCCCGTTGCCAAGTTGCAAAAGGAGGATTTTGTGGGCATGATGACGTCACTTCGGCCTTTGCAGCTTGCTTTGGAACGTGCAGGCAAGCCTTCTCCTGAGCAGACCAAGGAGACGTCCAAGGAGAAATTGACAGAGACATTGAAGCAGGCATTCACAGTGGAAGCAAATGAGAGCGTGGGGCGGTTGGGATTCAAGCCTGACAGTTTGCCGCCTGTAGAGCGGATGCTTGTCAAGAGTGTGGATGCTGGTGGCTGGGCGGAGGGTGCTGGAATTCAAGCAGGAGATGCGTTGCTGGCCGTAAATAACATTCCCGTTGCCAAGTTGCAAAAGGAGGATTTTGTGGGCATGATGACGTCACTTCGGCCTTTGCAGCTTGCTTTGGAACGTGCAGGCAAGTCTTCTCCTGAGCAGACCAAGGAGACGTCCAAGGAGAAATTGACAGAGACATTGAAGCAGGCATTCACAGTGGAAGCAAATGAGAGCGTGGGGCGGTTGGGATTCAAGCCTGACAGTTTGCCGCCTGTAGAGCGGATGCTTGTCAAGAGTGTGGATGCTGGTGGCTGGGCAGAGGGGGCTGGAATTCAAGCAGGAGATGCCTTGCTGGCCGTAAATAACATTCCCGTTGCCAAGTTGCAAAAGGAGGATTTTGTGGGCATGATGACGTCACTTCGGCCTTTGCAGCTTGCTTTGGAACGTGCAGGCAAGTCCTCTCCTGAGCAGACCAAGGAGACGTCCAAGGAGAAATTGACAGATTCATTGAAGCAGGCATTCACAGTGGAAGCAAATGAGAGCGTGGGGCGGTTGGGATTCAAGCCTGACAGTTTGCCGCCTGTAGAGCGGATGCTTGTCAAGAGTGTGGATGCTGGTGGCTGGGCGGAGGGTGTTGGAATTCAAGCAGGAGATGCCTTGCTGGCCGTAAATAACATTCCCGTTGCCAAGTTGCAAAAGGAGGATTTTGTGGGCATGATGACGTCACTTCGGCCTTTGCAGCTTGCTTTGGAACGTGCAGGCAAGTCTTCTCCTGAGCAGACCAGGGAGACGCCCAAGGAGAAATTGACAGAGACATTGAAGCAGGCATTCACAGTGGAAGCAAATGAGAGCGTGGGGCGGTTGGGATTCAAGCCTGACAGTTTGCCGCCTGTAGAGCGGATGCTTGTCAAGAGTGTGGATGCTGGTGGCTGGGCAGAGGGGGCTGGAATTCAAGCAGGAGATGCCTTGCTGGCCGTAAATAACATTCCCGTTGCCAAGTTGCAAAAGGAGGATTTTGTGGGCATGATGACGTCACTTCGGCCTTTGCAGCTTGCTTTGGAACGTGCAGGCAAGTCCTCTCCTGAGCAGACCAAGGAGACGTCCAAGGAGAAATTGACAGAGACATTGAAGCAGGCATTCACAGTGGAAGCAAATGAGAGCGTGGGGCGGTTGGGATTCAAGCCTGACAGTTTGCCACCTGTAGAGCAGATGCTTGTCAAGAGTGTGGATGCTGGTGGCTGGGCAGAGGGGGCTGGAATTCAAGCAGGAGATGCGTTGCTGGCCGTAAATAACATTCCCGTTGCCAAGTTGCAAAAGGAGGATTTTGTGGGCATGATGACGTCACTTCGGCCTTTGCAGCTTGCTTTGGAACGTGCAGGCAAGTCTTCTCCTGAGCAGACCAAGGAGACGTCCAAGGAGAAATTGACAGAGACATTGAAGCAGGCATTCACAGTGGAAGCAAATGAGAGCGTGGGGCGGTTGGGATTCAAGCCTGACAGTTTGCCGCCTGTAGATCAGATGCTTGTCAAGAGTGTGGATGCTGGTGGCTGGGCGGAGGGTGCTGGAATTCAAGCAGGAGATGCGTTGCTGGCCGTAAATAACATTCCCGTTGCCAAGTTGCAAAAGGATGATTTTGTGGGCATGATGACGTCACTTCGGCCTTTGCAGCTTACTCTTGCACATATTCAGGTAGGATTTCAGGATGAGCGCGCGACCCAGCGGTGCTTTGTTCTGGTGGCCGCCCCAGAAGGCTTTGCAGAAGATCCAGTAGCTTTCAGCTGGGATGAAGGCAGCTTGGCGAGCCACAAACCGGAGATTGCAGTGGAGTTGGGTATTTCTGTTGCTTCAGTGCCGGATGTGTCAAAACAGGGGGAGCCTAAAAGCAGAGGGCCTTTTGACTGAGGGCACCCACTTGCAGGGTTCGGTTTTTTTGACTACCCCAAAGTCGACTTAAACCCAAGCGTGGTTGATTAAAAGGGAAGCCCCTGCGTTTAAGTCTACCTTGGGGTCCAAAAACGGAACCCAACCCACTTGTCTCTCATGGATTTTTCCTCTCGCAGGCTCTCCAGGTTGGAGCTTCATCGTGGACCTGGAGCTTCACTTGCGTCTCTACGCAGCTCGGATTTTTTTCTTTCTCCCCGTTTCTGCGGGAGGTTGCGGCGAGTCTAGCGGGCCATCTCGGTTGGTTCAGCCTTCCTGGTTTCATGGAACCTATTCTGAACCTTGCCACTGGAGCCAAGAGTCAATGGGTTGTGGGACCCGCTTTAATGCGAGTGGCGCCAATGTTGGCGCTGATGGGTTGGGCTTGGAGCCGTGTTCGACATGCCCGGTGGACCTGCCATCGAGACCCAGGAGTTGCCACCTTACAGTCACCTACTTTCACGAGCGTACATGGTCTACGGCGTGCCTTGGCTGAAGCAGTCGTCTGCCTGATTCGAGCCTCTGATTCCTTGCCGGATCATAGCAGTTGCCATTGGTGATTGCCAGCTCAGGCGGGTCAAAAATTGGTGGCAAGTTGCTACCAATTTTTGACCCTGAGCTGGCAACCGGTTTTGGGCAGTCCCCAGGGCCCATTTTCTTGTGCTGTCAGCTGCTCCTGGCTGAGGCCCGGAACCTGCAATTGCAGCCGGGAGATCTGCTTGAAGCTGTCCAGGGGAAGCAGGCGGGGAGCCGCCGAAGCGCGGAAGCCGTTCTGCCTCATTTCTTTTGACACACATCTGTATTTTTCTTCGCGAGTCGAGGCGGCGCACTTGAGCCACAGGGAGCTGACTGCATTGCGACTTGACCGGCAATGCAAGCCTGCTGTACTCACCGTTTTTTTCCCTTCACCTGAGGGCACGAAGTTGAATCAACATCTGGTCTATCTGGAGAATCCTTAGACAAAAACCGCTTCTTGAGTTGAACACGTGATTATTTGTGCTTTAAGGTGCAGCGGACTGGCAAAAGTGGCTAAGATCAGGATGCCCATACTGTAGACACCTTGACCCACTGCAAAGGCAGCCCAAGACGCCTTCTTGGAACTGGCAACATTCATGGACAGCTGACCTTGGATTTGCTTCCTCTCGGAATGGACGACACATCCCTGAATGTGTCAGTTTTTTGTTTTGGGTCCATTTGCTCGCTGGTGATACTGTGGATGGACGACATCCTGCACCACCTAAGAAGCCCTGGAATGTTTCGATTCCTCTGTAAATACCAATCAACAAATGGTTTCCCATCGTTTCAAAGCGGTGCAGGATTGTGCCCATCCACCTTATTGTCGGCCCCTTACTTTACTGGGGGTTGGCATGGTGGGTCACAGACCACTTGAGGATCTAGACATGGGTAGCATGGTCAAAAGACGGCTTCCTTTAATGGTAGTAAGGGTCTTGAATATCCATTATCGATTCCAAAAAGGGGAGCCAGACCAGAGGCCAATACAAGGACATTGACCATGGCTGAGGTATTGTAGGGATTCGTTTGTAATTTTGACAGCTCAATTGCAGTTCTGACTGCGGCGCAAATATGAATTTAGCGGGAACTCCCTTAAACATTGATGTGAACATCAATCCAGCCATGTATTTTTGATTCACCCAAGGTGCCTAATGAAAACCCACAGCCATTCGGCTTTGTCTCAAAATAGGATTCGGCACCCCTCAATATGGGCGGCTTCCTTTTGGTCTCCCATTAAAAAATCAACACCAGCCCAAACAAAAGCCTTAGTACTCAAGAAAGACGAGCCCTTCATTTGGTGAGCTTGACAGAAGCCGCTCAAGTTCGGTTTTTGGACTTCCGGACTTTCCACCGGTAAGGGACCCCCCACCCCCCCCCCAAAGAGAAAAACAAAAAGCACAAAACAAGAGGACTCCGCGGGGCGGCCGCGAGGTTGCGGCAGCGCCCTCTGGAGCTTCGCTTCGCGCGGGCCAGCTGCGATGACCGGGAGGTGGCCGCGGCCATCCGGCGGGGGCCTTAAAAGGGAGGCCCAGTCTCATGGACCGGCTCGGTAGAACTGCCATGGGTTCGGTGGGGGGAAATGTATTTCCTCCTCCGTTTTTGGGATGAAATTGATGAAAGGTTCACCGCGGATGAAGCAGAACCCCTGCTTGATTTTGAGTGGGGGGTGTCCCCTTTTACTGGGGAGTCAGAACTGCCGTAGGCTCGGTGGGGTCACTTCCACTCTCTTTTTTTTGTGCGGGGATCCGGATCTTTCTAGAAAACCACCCAATATTTTGGGGAAATGGCGATCGGTGTTTTAAAAGAACGATGGTGAAAATAATGGTTGGAAGCAACCCCTAGAACCATAGGTTCGGTAGAACTACCTGGTTTAATTGGGGTAAAGCCTATTTGTAATAAGAGCAGCACCAAGAGTCAAGGAGTATTGGTGGTCCCAACTTGAGCTCAGTTCTCTAGATTGTTTTGGAAAGACTCCACTATCTCCAGGTTTGAGTATGACTCAGGTTGTATGCTGGGATACAACTGGGACAACAGGGCTTGGTTGACTTATTGCTACGGTTGTAATGTACTTACTACGTACTTTGAACATCCGTGTTTTCCAGGTTGCTTCGGATTCTCCTTCAAGATGTTTCAACATTTGAGCCCCCATCCTTTTCACCCATCTTTGTTTCCATCTCGTTTTCTCTGCATTTTCTTAAAGGACAACCTAGAGATGTACTATACTTGATCTGCTTTTGTACAAGCAAGTCCTCGCGAAGGATGGCTTCCCAGTTTGGACCAAGCTGCGGGAATTCTTGCTGTTTCCGCAGGCCGTGGCGTCGCTGTCATTGCGAGTTGAGCTGTGTGCGCTTGTGTGCCTTTGAGCGCTTCATCTTCGGTCCGAAGTTCCGTACAGAGCGGCGACCAAAATCCCAGGCCGTTTTGGTCTGTGGTTCTGCCTGGTTTCATGGGCGCTCCAAGGCCTATTGACACCAACCAGGTTGGTAGAACAACATGTAGTTGGGTTTGACCGCCTCTTGTATCCTTGAGGCTCCAATCAGCTTATCGCGCACGGCGAGGAAGGCCTGTCGAAATGCCAAAGCTGTCGACGCGACTTCGGGCCCTGCGTGCATCTATTGACCTGACTGACCCTGGGACATTCTCATCCACTTGGGTTCCGAGTGCCACCAGTGCCGAGATTGACACTGCCCCAATTTTGTTTGAGCAGATGGCCCACGCCAACACCTGGCAGGCGGGACGTAGACTTCGTGAAGTGGCTGCTGCAGGGCTATCGGCCCATCTATGTGGTCCCCGCGCTGGCCTTCACGCGAGCAGCCGCCCCGCGCGCGAGCCTTGGAGGATGAGGATGCCCTGGGATGTAAAGTCAATCATTGGCCTGTTACATCCGAGAACCCCTCAGAGTTACGAGGGCTTTCGCTGTTGGAGCTATGGTTTGCTTGCAGTTAGGGAGAGAGCAGACTTGCCGACTCTCGTTTTCTCTTCTCTTTTGAGCTTTGCCGCAGTACGCAGTGCCAGCCATGGACCTTGCAGGCACAATGCGGCGCCCGGTCTACAAGAAGGCGCCGTCGATGTTCAGAGCTTGGCTGACTTGTTTGCGTTGCATGCACATTGTTGCCAAACCATGGAGTGTATTCTTCATGCAACGAAGAGCAAGGGGCTACTGGCAGCCAGCGAGATGCTTTTTGTTACCATCACCTGCATTGAAGCTCAGTCAGTCAGCACTTTCCAACTCCGGATGTCCGCGAGATACCTGGCGAGACCTTCACCATGCAGTGCGATGGCCCACCCGGGCTGCGCTTCTGGAAACAGGCATTGCCTTGCGAGCATCCACACGCAGCGTGCATTTTCTGGTTTTGAACGTGGCGGCATTGGGTGTGTAAGTGTTTCTGGGGCCCCCCAAACTGCTAGTCCTTCCGGTTTCGCTTTAAACCCTCAAAAACGGGCTACCCTCAAAAAGGACAGACCCATATTTCTTGAGACGGGGAGAAAGTGCAGAGTGGCTTCTCTGGCTTGAACGTGGCCTGATTTTTTGAGATCAAGGAGAAAGTTCAGAGCGATTTGGAAGTGAGCCTCAGAGTTTGGCCCCTCCTTTCCTTGGTTCCATCTCCTTGGGCTTTTTGCTCTTTAAGTTTCTTTGTGGTCGTTTCCACTCCAAAAGCTTTTGACTTTTGCAAGCGCATGGCGAGGGCCTGGTCTATGCGGTGAGCCTGCGGAGCCGCGCAGACGCGGCAGGGGTGCGGCCTGGCGACTTCAGGCCCTGGTTTGGGGTTTGGGGGGCTGCGTGCGTGTCACGCCAACTTTGGGATTCAACGAGGACCAAATGAATTCCGTTTTTTTTCTTAAATGCATTGGTTTCCCACTGAAAAGCAGGGTCTCTCACCTCTGATCAGTATGTTTTTTGGATTGATGCAAAGTTGGGGTTACAAGTCCGGACTTGTGTCGCAAGACCTCAGCAGGCTCTGCTGGAGCTTTGCGTGTTTGATCAGAAACACTCTTCGACCCGGGCTTTTGCCAGGTCCACGAGCGGCAAGGCCAGGCGTTGCCACACTTTGCAAGAGAGAGCCGGGTATATGAAGTGCATGGGCGAGATGAGAGTATTAGTATCGCATTCCATCTATTCCCATTTCAATCCATCCATTCCATCCCGTTGCTCCCTCTAGCTGGAAGGCTTGCTGCCGCTGGTTCAACTCGAGAGAACAGATGGCAGCGCAGGAACTGATCTTCGTGAACGGCAGCCAGGCCAGGACGCGTAGGAGAAGCGGGATGGATTGGAGGAGACTTGCAAAGAAGGCGTGCTTGACATTTGGCTTTACTTTGAGAGAGGAGGCTGCTGTGAGGTGGCGTGTTTGTTCGGTGTAAATCACTCGTTTTTGCAAACGAGAATCAGGTCGCTTCACAGCAAAGCAGCGCGGCAGAGGATTTATAGAGTTCAACAAGGAAGTCATATCCAATGGCATTGCTATCTTAAGTGGGAGTCAATCAAACAGGAACTTCTTTGCAACTGACATTTTTCGACTCAACTTAACTGGCAATTACATATATTTCAATAAGCACATAAATCAATTAGACCATTTTTTATCGATGAAATTATAGAACTGATGTGTTATGCTCTTTTTTAAGGGGCAGGCCAATGGAAAGAAACATAATGTTTTCTTTCTGTAACAAGCTCCATTCAAAATTTAGTTAAACGTCACAAAACATTATTTTGGACAGATTATTGACGCTTGAGCTTAAGACAGAGATTCTACTTGATTTGTTCATGATTAATCTTAATTTAAGCTCGACTCATAGTTTTATCAAACTCGTTTGGAAAGGAATTCCTTTCTCCTTTGGAAAGAAATTCCTTGTCCAAACCAATACAGACAGAAATTGAAGAAACCAGCAAAACACAATCTGGCAATGGGACATTCTTGGCATACCCTATCATCTCGAATAGACTATGTTTCATTTTTTTGTTTTTCCAGTTTCAGACTTGTAAGAGTGAGTAAGGTCCAAACATTTCCTTTGTAAGCGAGCATTTCCTTAGTCAGGTTTTCCCCCCTCGATTTTGTTCCCTCCGTTAGAATCTCAGGAGATCAGAAGCCAAAGGTAGGAAGGAGGAAAAAGTGGTTGGGCCAAAACAAGAACTAACCACTCAGGACATCCCTTTCTTTACTGTGAGTGTCAATTCCAATTTGAAGTAGCGTGCGGGGAGCCAACGGCGTCAGGAAAGCCAAGAGCTGGCTGCGGCCGCAAGCTCAGCTTCCACTTGGGACTCCGTGGGGTTTGTTCGATCTGCTCGATCTTTTGGGAGCTGCTCCATTGGGCTGCGGGCGAGGGTGCAACCAGCCGGGGTGAAGAACCGAGGCTCTTCGAGTACAGTGCTGCTGGCGGGGAAAGGCTATTCGCCGGAGGATGAAGTCTGGTCCAAGGCCGGCCTCTTGTGGATAGCTTGCGCTTTGGAGCAAGCTTCTTCTTTCAAATTTGGAAGAGCCTCAGATCCAAATTCCACTGGAAGACCATGTTCGCGAGCTCGCCATTCACAGTTGTCTGATGCACCAGCATGGCCCCAATGCTTCACGCTCAGTGATAACTTGGCGCCCGCTTCCCTGGAAACAACGCTGTCCTGCAAATGGCAAGCTGTGCGTTTGCTTTGCCTCCAAATCGTGTCCTGTTTGCGTCCAAATCGTGTCCTATTTGCGTCCACTGCACATCCGTTGTTTCTATTTCGCCTTGTCAAACGACTCGTTCGGGACGACAAGCCTCAACACAAAACAAGTCCAACTGTGACATCAAGTGTCTGTGGGTCAAAACCAATGGTACCATTTTTGGGTAGGTGAATTCACCACCCATTTTAGAACCTATTTTAGTGGTTGGATTGCGATGTTCACTGGGCGTACGATTTGGCTTTTGATCCATGGCCACATAACCAGCTCTCTTGACTTGACGTTGCTGCAAGCGTTTGGTGCAGTCCCCGTGCGGCCGCCCTGCGGCTGACACTGGCTGCCCGCGATGCGGAGCTGCGGCGGGCTGAAGCGGCTTTGGTCGCTGCGCAGGCATCCGGCCGAGAGAGATGGGGCTGTGGCCAATTATGTCAGTTTTTGTGAGCTGCGCTCCGGATTAATCAACCGCCTGGGTGATAGGATGTCCCTGGGTTTTGTGGGGAATCAGGTGTTTTTCCTATATTGATAGAATTGTTTTTTCATTTGGCGTCAACATGAGCCAAGCTTTTGGCTGCCCGTTTGCATCTTCCCTTAAGGAGTTAACTATTCTTATGTTGTCCAAACTTGTTTTGGGAAAACTGGGATGTCATAGTGCCAAGTGCTGTTACCTTCACACTCCGGTCGGGCTTGTGAACTCGATTGTATGACTGCCTCGGGGCCATTTTAAGTCCTTGACTTGATCCCTGGTTCGATCACGGATCTTTTTTTTTTTTTCTTTCCAGGTAGCATGGCAAATGCCATGGAAGTGGACGGGGAGTCTACGGAGATGGTGCCAGGGACGGAGGATGCTCCCTCGGAGAAGAGCCTCTCCAGCACGGACAATTGGCACTTCGTGGACGCGCATGAATTCTGGCCGCAGACCTGGTAGCGGAATCCAGGACCTCCCAAAATCACACCTGGTGGCCGGCGGAAGTCCGCTGGCGCGGCCTTGGGGAGGACCCCATCAATACCTTGACGGGCTTGCCGCTTTCTGTGGAAGTTGCTCAGGAAGTTGCTCACAAGTGGTACACCCTCCGCAAGGAGGATCGGGTGCTGATCCGTTCCAATTGGGATGGGGCGGACGTGCTGGCGCGGGCGGACACTTGCCGAGGAAGACTTTCAAGATGCCAGCGCAGATTCCGGACTCCAACTTTGACGGAAAAAGACCTCCAAGACACGGACATGTATGTCATGCATGCGCGCGACGCCAAGAAGGGGCTTTCTTGCCTGGTGGAGCCGGACCACTTCCCAACCAAGCTCTTCGAGAGCGAGACGGCATCCTCAGATGCCTCCCAAAAACAGTGCTCACGAAGTTTAGACGCTCCTGAGCTTCTACACGTCCCTGGCTTCGTGGTGTAGGAAGGAGAGCCTTTGAGACCTCATCTACCAAGGGCCCCTTTCAGTTGCTCTACTGAAGCCTGGCTTACCTGGGCTGGTTTTCTCTGTGACACCCATTGGTATCCGGATTCTGGAGTTACCATGAGTCCGGATTTCATTTAACCCGGATTTCCACGAGATGGGGTTGGGGGTATGAAAATACCCTTAATCCGACAAGGGTCGGCAGAAAGCTGACACAGCCTGGAGGCTGTGTTCGCAGCTCTGCGCCCTCAAGTTTTGGCTTTTTGCCACTCACGCGGTCTTGAAGAAAAGGATCTTGTGGAAGCGCTACAGACTGCACTAGGCTCCGACAAGTCTGGCCAAGTCAGAAGTCACAAGGGCGCCCTCCCAAATGCCGTCAAACAAAGGGTTCCCCTCAAGTTGATGCCTTCCTAAGGCATTTTCCCCAAAAAGCAAGTTCTTTTTTGCATCCGTTCGAAACGGAGCAGTTGGCACTTTTCAGCCAGGCGGCTGTGGGTCAAAACCAAAAGTACCATTTTGGCGGGTAGGTGAACTCACCCCCCATTGTAGAACCTATTTTGGTGGTTGGATTGGGACGTTCGCCGGGGGGTACGGGATTTTGACCCATAGCCAACTAACCTTATTGAGCTGATTGATTGAACGGCGTTTGCTCAACCTTTGCAGATACAGGAAGGGCTACCTTGGGCTGAAAATGCAAATGAGAGGTGGGCACCGAAGCGTGCCACCATCAGTACGGCCGTCCTTATGGCCATGGCCATCCACTCGCTCGCGTGAGGCCAGGCAGCCGGACGCGGCCAGCCTGGTGCGCTCCTTGCGCGCGAAGGTGACGCTGAGGGAGACGCAGCTGGGTGGCCTGAAGGCCAACGCCGCCGCCGACGCCTTCGCCGCGCAGGCGCCGATGTGAGCAGATGTTCCGTGAAGTTTGGGGAGGATGTTCCAGGGTTGGTGGCAAAATTTGCTCACACACCTGTTTTTCCTCTTCTTTTTCCCTTCTATTCTTGTTTGTAAATTTTAAGGGCCAGCCAAAAGTAGGTTGTTTATAGCAACAATCAATGTGTACATATATACACATACATGCATATATATATATATAGGAATTCTGCGCACCTCCGCTTTGTGGCCAAGGGGCCGAGAACATTTCAGATCCCAAGCTCGAAATCGGAGGCCATGGCAAGGCGCTTGGCGGAGGCCGAGCGCTGCCACAAAGACGCCCTGGTGGCGAGTACGGACTTCACCTTAGGCCTGGTGCAGAGCCATGGCTTTTGAATTTTAAGGAGAAGTCTTTTGATTCACTTTGTTTTTTGTTTTTTTGGGCGAAATTTGTGTGTTAAACTGGTTGGTTGGTTGGGTTGGGTTGGGTTGGGTTGGGTTGGGTTGGGTTGGGTTGGTTGTTTTTCTGGTTGGTTGGTTGGTTTGTGTCTGTCCTAAGTCGCCTTTGCTGTGCGACGAAGCAAGCCTTTGCATTTAGGAACATGCGGCGCCTGGACGGCCTTCCTGCAAGATATGGCGCTCCGCGCACCGCGGGGGAGTACACGTGGGGCAAGACACCATTGTGTTTCTTGGCTGCGTTTTCGTCAGAACTTTTGACCGAGCTTTTGGGTTGTCTTTTGGTTTGTGCTAAGTTTTCGGGTTGAACGTAGCTGTATTTTCCCATACCTGCGAATCGCAAAAAGTCTTTTTGTTGGAACAGGGGCAAGAGCGAAGCAGGTCAGAGCATTGCTTGTGGCACGGAAGGGGATGAAGAGCAACGCTTGAAGGAGGAAATCGCACTGCTGAAGAGCCAGTTGGAAGAGGCACGGCTGGCCGATCAAAGCCGCGCGGACCAACGGAAGGAAGATGGCCGAACAGAAGTGAAGGAAGATACGGTAACGGAAGAGCAGGAAGTTGCTGCAAAGGAAGAGCAGTCGGAAGATGCCGCAAAGAAAGAGCAGTCAGAAAATGCCGCAAAGGAAGAGCAGTCGGGCAAGGAAGAGCAAAGCATTCAGGCACAAGGGGCAGAGACTGGGAAAGCAGAGGTGGCCGGGAAAGTGGCTGGGGAAGCAGAGGTGGCCAGGGAAGCAGAGGTGGCCGGCGAAGCAGAGGTGGCCGGCGAAGCAGAGGTGGCCGGCGAAGCAGAGGTGGCCGGGGAAGCAGGTGTGGCCGGGGAAGCAGAGGCTGGGGAAGCAGTCGTGGCCGGGGAAGCAGGCGTGGCCGGCAAATCAAAAGCTGGGGAAGCAGTCGTGGCCGGCGAAGCAGAGGCTGGGGAAGCAGAGGCTGGGGAAGCAGAGGTGAAGCTTCAGGAAGGAGCCCAGAGCAAAGAAGTACTCCAAGAAGCTGCCGGCAAGGAGCCAGAAGACCTTGATCCAGAGCTTGAGGAACCGAAAGGCGCTGTGGACACCGCTGGCGAACCTCAGGGAAGTGAAGATGCCGAAGCCAAGACGGCAGATGCTGAATTTGGGGACAGCCTTGGGGATGCAGCTAGGGATGGGGATGAGGCTTCTCCAGCTCTGATCGCAAGCGAGGTGAGAGCAGGGCTCGATGCGCCGGATTCGGACTTCCAGCAGGACTGGCTTGAGATGGCTTCGAATAGGCAACATCCTCCAAAATATGACTAGTGAAATTATTTTCCCTGGTGTAAATGGTGTCCACCAAAGGGTTTGCAGCTAAAACTCGACTCATGCCCAATCCCAGCCATCAGGTGAGTCACAATCAAACCCCGGTATTAAAATGGTCTACCCAGAATCATGTAAACAAAAAATTGAAGGCGGCCGCATTTCTGGTTGGGATCGTCCCTTACTAACCTTCATCCACCCGGGTTTTGATTGTGACTCAGGTTACTCGGGTTTTGGGCCGTTTTCTCGCTGGATCAATTTGTTGAGCCCAGCAGTCACTGGACCGCATCCCGAGGATTCCATGAGCGACATGGACGAGGCCTTCGAAGAAGGGACGCAGCAGCGCCTGCGGGCGACCTGGCGAGTGAAGTGGCATCCAATGACCTGCACTCACCCCCCTGGCGTTTAATACTATTATATATATATATATATTTATTAGCATGAGATATATATATATATGTTATATACATAAGGTTGTTTTGTATATATATATATATACACATACGTATATATTTGTGTTATTATGTGTATAGATGTTTGTTTGTTATATATACACATATATGCACATACATGTATGTCTTTGTGTTGAGGGAACCTTTTCACGGTGGCTTGAAGGGAAACCATATGAACAGCTAGTCAGGGTCCCCATATTCTGACACAAAACCCAGATGCATATGTTGTGTTTTTGTGGCCTGGGCGGCTAAGCGTGGCTGGCATTTTTCTCGTCAGACCATGTTGCTGGCAATACCTATGGTTTTTGATATTGGTCGTGTTGCACATTTCGACAACTGTATCATTGTCGGCGAGCCTGCGCCATGCTGTGCAAACCAATCGCGGAGCAATCGCTTAGTCAGTTGTGCGGAAGTTGGCTGAGGATATTGCCATGGCAATGGCATCAATGGCGAAGGAAGAAGTCGAAGAGGAAATCCAAGAAGAAGCGCGAGCTTCCTCAGGCGCGGGAGGAAGGCATAACAAATTCAGACAGTTTCCGTTCGTCACACTATTTGGGATGAGCAGATATCGCGGGCATGCCTGACGGTTTGCGAGAATTTCCACAGAGCTTTCGGTGAAGGTGTTGCGTCAGGGAGTTATCAAAGTTGGAACGCCCTGCAGGTATGCAGTCAACCCGCCTGACGCTTATAACCAGGGCCAACCACTTAGCCAACCCCCAGGCCACCTACACCAGAATAAGATGTGGCCGGACGAAGCCAAAATGGATCTGTCGTCTTTTTGGAGGGTGCCTTTTTTTTTTCTTTCTCCACCTTTTCTTTTCTTCTCTGGTTCTAGAAGGGCAACCGACGGAAAACCTACCATTTGGCGGGGGTTACGGGCAAAACAAGGACGCACCGAAACGGGCTGGAGCGGTGAGCCGTGCTTCACGAGGCAACGTCTTCATCACGCTGCTGGCCCACCGGGGGCCCCTGGGCTTCCGGCTCACTGCCGCCCCAGGCGCCGGAAAGCCGGAAATTCCCGAGAATTTGTGGCGAAAGTCTTGGTAGATGTGACGTGTGGCTCAAAAAACATGTTTTGGGCAAGGTGGACGAAACAAAAATGGTGTGAAATCGTTGAGCCACTGCTGACTCCCTGAAGTCCAGGACTTTACACCTCGGCTTGGACCATTCTGGCAGCTCGGACGTTGGCCGATCAGGAAGCGAGTGTACTCCTTTTGGCGGGCTTCGAAAAAAAACCAAAGGACACACCACCATTTTGGGGCAAGCGAGAGTCTCCCGGAATTTTGTGAAGGTTGCTTCCTTCTTCTTTGGCATGGGAGCTCCGGAAGACAGATGGCTGGTCCCTTTTGGAGTTGGTACCACCCGTTTTTGGCGGGTTTAAAGGAAACCAGCCGGAAAGCCGCCGCCGATTTCTTGGGATTCCAAGTCCCGGAGAAAAAGACAGAAATAAAAAAAAACAAAACCGCGCCGAGCCGCCGATGTCCAGGGCTGCTGGTCTACCGCTGCGAGCTGGGCAGCTGGGCGGAGGCGGCGGGTCTGCGCCGGGGGGACCAGCTGGTGAAGCTGCAGGGCCTCGAGGCTCAGCTGCTGCCCCTCGGGCGCGCACGCGCACGCGCGAGCCGAACGCGGGTTTTTGCGGGAGGTGGGGGCTGGCGGGTTCGGCTTTTGCGGGACCGGGGGTGGAGGTCGGGTGTTGGGGGTGTCTTTGCTTTGGAGGGGAAGGGGGTTTCTTCATTTAGTTGGAGGGCTTTTTGTTTGGAAGCCGCGAGGGAAACACCAAGTTTTGGTGGGTCTTCTAAAGAAAGGCACACCCGTGTCAGTTTTTTGGAGGCTACCCTTTAAGCACGTTGGTTCCTAGGGAAACCAATCGGAAAACCGTTCCCCCCATGCCACTTCGCTCAAGATTTCCGTTGGTCCATTGAGTTGAGGGACATGGCAACCACAGGCACCAGGGGACGGATGGGGAAGAAAGCTATTTGCGTGTCTTAAGATAGGGAGACACAACAAATGATCGGTTTTCGGTTGGCTTTGCAAACAACCTCAAAAGGTGCGGTACGCTATGAATGTAGATGGTTGTAAGCACAGATTGGTGGACATAGATCCAACCATGTAAATGATGTTCATCAAAGGGTCTCCAGTTAAACTTGATACACATATGTGAGCAGCAGACAAGTTTTTGGTCGTCTCCTGTTCTGTTGGTTTGGGGAGGACATGGTGTAAAGAGAAGTCACAAGTTCGCAAAGGAGGCGCACAGCTGCAATGCAAACATTGGGACAGAAGGGCCCATTGAGGTCGGGCGAGAGGAAGACCTTTTGGGTAGGATCCAGGTTCTGACTCCCAGGCAGCAAGCTTTAACGGTTGACAGGTAGTCAAGCACAGGAGGACGGACATGGCTTGCAGAGATGCAAATAAATCCATTGAGTTCGCAAGAACGCTCTGACTCCAGGGAAGATGATATGTTCTCCTTTCCAGTCACAATGCATGTGCCGCCACTTCCAATGTCAAGCACTCGTGGGGTGAGGGAAGAGGAAAAGAAAAGCGCTTTGGACATTCCTGCTGCGTTTCAACACGAAGCTCGAAAACCGTCCGACTCTAAAAGATGATGAACACAGAAAGGCAGAAACTTGTTTAGATTCCTTTGGTTTCCAATAGCGGCCGATTCTCCGCCTTTTGGTGTCCGACAGCGAGGCTAGGCAGGCTTGATCCGATCCTCTTCACGACAGCACGAAGGCATACCATTGGTTTCCTTCGGTTTCCAATAGCCAGGCCAATGTTCCGCAACCTCGTTACATAAGACCCCTAAGCCCCTAAGCCCCCAGCGCCACGGTTGCTGAAGCTCCCCCCAGCGCCCTTGGCACCTGGTCCTTCGGGCGGTTCGCTCTGAGGACGGCGCAGGAGCTGTCGGGGGCGCTGCAGTGCCGGCCCCTGGAGCTCACCTTCTGCCGGGGCTGGCCGCGAGGCCGACGGAGCCGACGGAAAGCACAACGTTTGGATCACCGAAATGAAGCCATGGCGGAATGAACTCGGAAGGCTTGTTGCGGTATGAAACCAGGGGAAGCGAATCATTCCCTTGGGTTTCGGGTTCTGGTGGTGCGAAATGGATTTTGTCCATGCACAGTTTGATACATGCACTATGCAGATGTCGTCTCCCTTACAGCCATCCAAGCGGGGCGGCTCCGTTTTGAACCTTCCCAGCTGCAAACAGACGGCAGGTCGAAATCTGGGTGGCAATAGCATGAACAACGGACAATAGAGGCAACATTGTCAGCTCACATGGACACTATGCAAGTCAGCATGCCCAGCTCAACGCAAGGCGGAGAGGACATGTTGGAGGATATAGCGGATGCGCTCTCAGGCGCGGAGAGGCTCAGCTTCGGCCCTTGAAATGCTGTTTATTTTCAGAGCACCTCTTAGTTCTCAGGAAACCAAGAATGACAGGGAGCAAAAGTTCTCGAAAGATTGCTGCAAGGTCCGAGCCATTGGAAGCAAATGGCCATCACAGATGGGCTCACGGAAGTTACTCTGCTTCTTTCTTGTGTTTGCAGGCACCTAACACGCGCGAGACACCTGCTGTTGGTGCGGTTGGAGTCCTGTTTCCTTGATCCAAAGCATTCTTCCTTCATGCGGTGCCCATTCACAGGTTTCAAAGCATCAAAGACACCGATCTCTTTAGCTGAAATGTCAGCAGGGACCCAACATCTTGATTCTGCGAATTGATTTGGCATAGGGGCTGCTTTCACTCCTGCTTGTGGCCGTTCCATTCACCGCAAGGCCTGTTTCCGCTGCCGTCTTTTCCTTGCGGTGCTTTCTGCACATAGCTCGAGTCGTTGGATCCAGTTCGAATGGATCTATGCGAGGCTGTCAATCATGGAAGGCCATAAGGCCTCCACGGTAGAACCGGGAGCAAGGTGACCCTACTTTAGCTTGCTGAGTCGAATGACCGAGACTGGGTGTTGGTGGAATGAACGGGTTTTGGTTGGATTCCCGCATATTCAGGAAACCACAAGAAGGGGATGGGTTTTGCCTAAGCCGAATTTCCCATGAGCAGGTTGGGGGCACCCCAGTTAGGCGCTTGGGGTCACTCCCTCTCTCATTGCCCATCGATCCATTCCCCCGCGAGGCTTCCGGGCCTGGCAGCTGCTCCGGGACGAGGTGCCGCTGAACCCGGAGGCTCGACGTCGCCGAAGATCCCTCCAACGCTCGTGGGATTTTGTTTTGGTGGGTACCGCTGTTTTTGTCTGCGGTTTGAAGGGACACCAAAAGGACAACCGTATTTTTTTTGGGCCCTCCCAAAAAGACATACCCACGTGGGATTGTGACCAGAGTGGAAATACATCCTGTACCTTTGAGGCCTTACCGGTCAGCTCCTTTGGGTTTCCGCGTTGATCTTTCCACTTCGACTTACGGCGGGTTTTTGAATGGGTTGGAAGCGCGAGCAGATGGCATCTCTGAATGCTTTGCCAGGCCTCGCTGCCAGGCAGGAGTCGTTAGTGAAAGGTTGCCGACCCTTCGAGTTGCGCCCAGAGCTTTGAAGCAAGTGGAGCTCCGCGCAATTTGAGTGCGAACACAGAGCCCCCGTTTCTGGCAATGGCTGAAATGTCGGTGCGGATGACAGGCCAGTTTGGGGACGTGTGGGTTCATCTCAAAACACGGGAGCCCTCCAAAGGGGCAGTTTCCTTTTGGTTTCCCCCCCCCCCTGGCTGAGGCCTTCCAGATCTCACTGGCCTGGAAGGAGACAAGGAGGCAGTGCTGCAGGCGGTCAGGCGCATGTGGGTTTGTGTCATAGCGCGCTTGGGAACCCAATGCTTGGTATCCTTCTCTTTTAAACAGACCGGTGTCCTGAAAAGGCAACCCCATATGTTTGATGCGTCACATTCTTGGTCCGGTGGCTGTTGGCCCTTGTGGAAAGTGACCTGGCGATCCCAGCAGCGCTTTGAAGCTGGGACAAGCATGTGATGTGGGCGTGTCTTCGTTTTGGGACCCCCCCCGCCCCCGCAAAAAAAAAACAACAACACCAACAAAACGACCATAAGATGGTCGGCGTCCTTTGGGTTTCCTTTAAATGACCGAGCAAAGGGTACACACCCTTTCAACCCTTTGAAGGCTCTCCTTGTTGATTACCGGGATGGAGCTGTTCGAGGCGGATTGGCGCAATGGTTTTCTGAAAATAATCTTCGGAACGGGGCCCTCCCCGCCCCCACTTTTGGCAAACGGCCAAAGGTTTTGGTCTCTATTGGAAGCCATCGTTTTGGCTGGAAGGCTTTGTTGGGGCCGGAAACTTCTCGGAAGGATCTGGTCCCGATTGCACGTCACTGAGGGTCCAAGATTGTCAGCCCAGCCGGGTCGCAAGGCAGTCCTGGCGCAGCTTGGCGCTGGCATCAGAGGAGCTGCAGGGCGATGGGGACCTGGTGCTGGAGGCAGTAGCCCAGGCGCTCGAAGCGGGGGCTGTGCGTTTGAGAGGGGCGAATCAGACTCGGGCTGCTTGTTTCAGGGGCTGGGGCCGAAGGCACCTTCCGACCTCTCCCTCAGACAAAGTGCGGAGGCTCTTTTCCAAGACAGGCTTCCAAGAGGGGTTTGTCCAATTCCATGATTGCTTGTGGCAGGGTACTTTTCGCCTGCAAGTGGACGTCGCCTCCAGGCAATCAGGGGTCTCCCCGAGCTTTTTGCGGTTGCATCTCTGGTGAGGATGCTGCTGCGTTGCGGTTTGCTGCAGAGGGCCTCAAGTCGTCCAAGGAGAAGGGGAGTGTGGGACAAGGGGAGTGTGGAGCCGAGTTGGGGGTGTCTTTTTTCGGGGACCCCTGAAAATCGACGGAATGATCCCAAATTGGCTCTTGAGCACAATAGGTACCTAAGTTTTGCGTCATACCACTTGTTGAGTACCTAATTTGCCCTAACTCCTCCAAAGACTCCCCCCCCGCAAAGGTAAGACCTTGGAACATCGTTCGCGCTCCGCGGATCAGGACTTCATGTTGCAGGCGGTGCGGCTGGGCAGCGCTTTGCAACATGCGGCTCCCGAGCTGCGGGCGGATCGGGAGTTGGTGCTGGAGGCAGGGCGGTGGGGCTGGGGCTTGGGATGCCCGGGGGGGCAGTCAGTAAGCTGGTCAAGCCTCCTGTAAACTCTAGCTGGGCTGTTGAAGTGGACATCTCCCTTTCTTGCTCACTTCTGCCCAACCCCCCCCCCTCGCCCACCCACCTCCCCCCTTCGCTCAACCCCTTAGAGGATACTTTGCCAAAATCGGTCTGCGCTTTGGCTGTGCCTTATGCCTGTTCAGGCCGTGAGGACCACTGGATCTGCTCTCCAATATGCGGCGGATGAGCTGCAGAAGGACACCGATGGCACGTGTATTATGGATTCGGAGCCATAGCAAGGGGAGACGTTGCGGCCAAACAACGTGACTATTGGTGACCGTCATTGGCCGTGCTTTTTTTGTACCATGGATCACATGAGCTTCCCATGATATGGCTCAGTACTGAGCTGAGCGGAATCTGACATTCTGCTCGAGCAGGACAGGGAGGTGGTGCTTGCCGCCCTGAAGCAAGACACCTCCATCTTCCCGATGCTGGCGGAAGAGTTGAAGGCAGAGCGCGCGGGGCGAGTGGGCAGTTGGTTGAGGGCACAGGCAGAAAGATTAGCATTGTCATGTTGAAGAGCCCAAGCTTGATTGGGGCATGTCTTGGTTGCTGGCCTCAATTTGCAGCCGAGGCTGACCCTGAGATTGCCGAGGAAGCGGTGACTCAGCATGGCAGCTTGCTCGGTCTCTTGGCCTTGTGATCAGACCAAACCTGGCGTGTGCACACGCATCCACACGCACACAGGCACCTCATGCGTAGGGCACAACTGGACGCGCACTTTTGCCACAGAGCCTTTGCTGCGGAACTTGCCATGCTGAGTTGGGACAATTGCTCATTCGCGCACACGCCAATGCAAGCACGGGCGCACGGCGAAATCAGAGAACTGCGCAGGCAGGCAAAGTTAAGCGCCTGGCTATTTTGCCCACCAATCTTTCTGGGAAGGCTCATGCGTGGGCCCACCTTGCTCTTGTATTCAGTTGCAGTTTTTGTGCAATGCCAGAGCTAAGTGTAACATTCAGAAGTTGTTGGTGTCAAAACAGGGTTTCCCAAGCAGTTTCCCACGAGCTTCGCACACCTCCAAAGAAGCCGGTTGCGAATGAAGGTTAACGGACAGTGGCAATGGCCTTGACCAGACGAATTTGTTTGATAAGGGACAGTGGCAATGGCCTTGGCACTGGATTTGAGTGTGACTCAGCTGTTTTTTTCAGGAAAGCGACACCTCGTGAGGCCTGGTGCCGGAGCATCTGCGGGATGAGCTGGCGGCCCTGGCGGCACGCAGCGACCCCTGGGCGCTGTTGCAGGCGCCAAGACTCCTGCGCGACCGAAAGGCTGTGCCCCTCGGCCATACGGAGCGAGAAGAAAAAGGTTGGTGACCCCCCCAAAAAAAGAAAGGCAACTGCTGCCAGCCTCCGCCGATGTTTGGCGTGCTGGAACTTGAAGAGGGCCCCCCTGCCCAACGTCCAACTCGCCCGCCCCTCAGCAGCGCGCTCGGCACGGCTGCCCAACGGCAGAATGTGCGCCAGAATGGCCAATGTCGCAATTGATTTGTGCATCTGGATTCTGCAGAGTTGTACTTACGGAAAGCTTTTTCCTTACTAAAGCGCTGGTGATGCTGGGGGTGTCCGCCAATTTAGTTTCCAGACTATTGCTACGTCTACTTGTAGTCAGGGGAAAGGCATTACCTCGACTACAACACTGGGGATGCTGGGGTGTGTTGCCAACTTCAGTCTACGGACCAGAACAAGTCTACTTTTAGCAGGAAAAACGCTTTCGTTACCTAAACACCGGTGATGCTGGAGGTGTTGTCAACAAAGACTGTCAACAGCCGATCGAGTCTTGTCGATGCAATTTTGCAATTCGTTTTGTAAGAGCTTGGATGCCGCCGAATGACTTGCAAAAGTTGAGTTTGGAAACAGCGAACATTTTAGTTGGTGGAAATGCGTTTTCCTTTCTAAGGCGCGGGTGATTCTGGGGGTGTCGACTGCTTTGGAAAGAAACACTGCTGATGCTTGAGGTGTTGACCACTTGTTGTCACTAAGTTCATCTTGTAAAGACATGTTTCTGCCGTCAAATGATTTGTAAAAATCGAGCCGGGAAAACATCTACTTTTTCATTCTCTTTACAAACACAGTGGTGATGCTAGGGGGCGGCAGCATACTAAAACGACATGGGGTCTACTCCCCGCGCCTTGCCACACGCGTGCGTACCTTGAATTCCCAGATCCTTATGGTGTTTTGGTGTTTAGAGTGTGCCTCATGTGTATTCATAGTGACATGGTGGACATAGACGAGGGCTTGATTCTTGTCTGGGCTTACTCGCGCATGCGTATGTCTTGGGCTTTCTATCGATTCCACCCGCGCGATTCTGTACACACACGTCTCTGTGAGCAGAAAACCGCTCCCGAGGTTCTAGCAAGCTTTGGTTGGGGGCTCTTTGGCTTCCCAAGGCAAGCCGAGATTAGCTGGAGAGAGGTTGGCCTATGGGTTTGCCAGTAGCTTGTGGGTTTGCCCCAGAAGGGACCTTTGGTTTCCGTGTGTTAAGCCACGCGCTCGGACGCAAGCGCGTCGGCGGGCGCGTTGAGCTCACTTTTCGAGATGTGTCAGGCGCTTTCGGAAAGAACACTCGATTGAATGGGGCCTGGTTTGTTTGCGGCTTTCGACATCTTACAAACACGGCACGAGGTACGAGGCCTTGGAGCGCGAGCCGCGGCTCTTCCCCTTCCTGGCGCGCGCCTGGAAGGACGGCGACGTGGTGCACGAGGGCCTCCTGCAAAGCGCGGAACTCCTGCAGGACGTTTTGCCCGTCTCACGGCGAGCCCCCCAAAATTTGGTCAACCCCCCTCAACCCCCCCCTCTTTTTGATGCAAAGCCAAACCAACACACGCACACACACACACACACATGTGAGGCTCATAATTAGCAAATACCACCGAGTACCACGTTTTTGGGGGGCCTCCTGGACCATTTTTGAATTAGTATGGCACATTCGGCAGGGCCATTTTGCTGCACAATGTCCATTGGATTCAATTCCGGCCCAATTCAAACAGATGCGTCCTACAGCATCGGAAGCATGGCATTTCAGATTCTATCACGTCAATTTATATGCAAGACAAATGAAGAACGGAAACACCTGTGTCTTGTGAGTATCGGGTCTTGGGTCGCAACCCCAGCTGCTTTTGGAGGTCACATGGAAGCCAAAGGGAAACATATTTTGAGGTGTTCGTACATTTTGTAGTGAGCTACTGTGGATGGGCAAAACCCGCCTTCGCGGGATGAAGCCCGATTTGAAGCTGTGACATATCAACTGGTGGATTTTTGTTCATCCACTGATTGCAGCAATTTGCTATGGGTTTGTGATCAGGTGTGGGGGGGATACTCAAATTCGGAAGTCGGGAACCACACAATTGGTGGTGTCGACCCCCAAAATAGGTCCCCCCAAAAGCGGTTTTCCTCTTTTTGACCCCGTGGTTTTCAAAATGGCGGGCCTCAGGACGACCCCACGCTGGCGCTCGCTGCGCTGCGCCAGAACTGCTGGGAACCCCGGGCCTGGCACATGGGGTGGTTTTTCCTGAGAGATGGGGCACAGGCCTAGTCTCTAAAAAAATGGTACGTGTTTTTTCTGAGATGGGGGGGTGCATGCTCCTTCGCAAGGGAAGTGATCTATGGAATGGGAGAGGGGTAGTTGTTCTTTTCTTTTTGATGCTTATGGAAGGGGGGTGGGGTAGTTGTTCTTTGTTTTTTGTTGACAGTTTGGTGCGATAGGGCTTCGAACGCACCTCTGACAGCAAAATCGTGCGCAACACAAGTCTTGAATTCCAGTCTTTTTTCCCAGTGGTTCAAACACTGCAAATCAATGTGAAGCGAGGTTTGGTAAAAATGCTCGTTATACTTTGGTCCACTTTTTGGAGTGCATGGCGGAGTCTTTCCAGTTCCCACAAGCTCGGGGCTCTCTGGACATGTCGTGTGGTGGAGGCCAGGTCTGGCACGCAATGCTGGTGGTTTTTGGTCCAAACTTTGGATCCAGTCCAAATCTCCACTGTCCCGAGATTCTGGCAGAAACATTCTCATTGACTGGCTGCGAGTCAAAGCCGGCCGGTTTTTCTGAGAGGTTTTAAGGTACACAGGGATTCAAGCTGAGCAGACATGTTGTAATGAACACGAGTGAACTGAACATATGTGAACACCATTCTCAAATTTGGTCCAGAGGTAAGCCAGGAGAGCCAAACCTGCAGATTCACCACGTGGGGCGAAGCAGGGGCTCTTCCATCTCCCTATTTGGGTGACTTCAAAGTCAGCTTTCGTGCGTATTTCTTCAGTGATTTTGATTTGCCAGTGATGTTAGGGCACGGAGTCGAGAGCGATTGATGCGAGGTGAGATCTTTCCCTTCCTCAGCTTCGGGCTGAAGGCAGACAAGAGTCTGGTGATCCAAGCAGTCCAGCAGAAGGGCAGCCTGCTGCAGCTACTCGGCACCGTCACAGAAGTTGGGCATCCATGTAAACCTAAACCTTTCACGTTGGGGCGTTTCTGGGGGCTGTGATTTACTGACTCGCGCTTCAGTCCGCGAATCCGTCAGGGGCATGGGTTGGAACTTTGAGGTATGCCTCGCCCATCCTGCAGGGTGACAGAGAGGCCGGTTTGTCCGAACGCAGAGGAACTGCCGTGTGACCGGGGACGACCGAGGATAAAGCAGCGACCTTGAGACTCTAAACGTAGGCTATGGCGAAAAAATCGCAGTGATGCGCTTCAAACCAAAAAGACAGATTCAGAGGATCTCGAAGGCCTGGTTGCTGCCTTCTGGTGAGTTTACTTTGTTTGCCCTTCTTTCGGGATCACGCGCACCCCTGTGATTCCATCAGCTGGATTTGGCATGACTTGGCCTTCTGGCTATATTCTTTTTTGCGGGCACAACACACACACCGACGCACAAACCTAGAAACACAAGCACGCAAGCACATGCCAAATGGGTGTGGCTCCAAATTAAACAGCTGGGGTTACGCAGGTTTTGGTCTACCTTTCCATTTACCAGGGCTCCTGTGTGGACCCCGAAATTTTTGGTGGCAACGCCGTGTTTCCACGTCTGTTGCTTTGGCAACGCCAGGTGGTCCTGGCCGCGGTGGCGCAGAACGCCGCCGCAGCGCTGCCTTGGGCCTCGCCCAAGCTGCGGAGGGACCCGCAGGTGGTGCTGCAGGCGGTGAAGCAGCCGGGGACCCAAACAGAACTTACGCTTCCGAGTCATTGGGCTGTGGGTCAAAAATTGGTACCTGTTTTGGGATTGGTACATGGAAGCCAAAAACTAAAACCTGCGGGTTTTTGGTGGTTTACATTTGACTTTTGACCCATACCCATTTCCCTTCTTGGAACCTCCAAGAAACAACTGGCAGTTTCAAGGGAAGCTGGTATATTGATCAGCTTTTGATTTTGGGACTTTCAATGATTTTTGAGAAATACCCCTTGAATGTTGACCCCTGATTTTCATTAACCCCACAGAACCCTGCAGGGTGAGTAACTGGATGTTGCAAACCCGTAGCGGCACTTGGGGGAAGCTTCATTGTGGTCTTGAGACATTCCCCGGTGTGATGTACTGGATATGTGGTGTGGATACCGGGTGAGCCAGCCTGGCGCCTGGTGTAGATTTTGTCCGCTCTCACTTGAGTCCGAGGAACCCCGCAATCCTCCGCTTTGTGTCTGCTGAGATGAAGGCTGGAAAACTCCCCGCGGAAGCGGGGTTTGCGGCTACAGCATATTTCCGCGGGGGCGTTGGAGAAAGCCCTCAAATAGGGCCATTTGAGCAGTGCTCAAAACCGCATTGTCCTCGCCCCACACATCGGTGCCCAGTTTGGGGAATATATATATATATATACATATATATATATATATATTTATACATACATATGTATATTTAAACGTATACATACATGCATGCATGCATGCATGCATACATACATACATACATACATACATACATACATACATACATACATACATACATACATACATACATACATACATACATACATACATACATACATTTATATATATATATAGATATTGTCACACCCCCCCATCAACTACATCTGGAGCATGCGCTTCATCTCACCCTCCAAAAACACTGATATTTACAGCGTGGTTTGCGTGTTTTGAATGTAAACAACTAAGGAACTACAAGACCGAAATATGTAACGAACACGGTGTTTCTGTTTTTAATTGCCAACGTGTAACAACCGTCCTGCTTTTACAGGTTTGACTACACATAGCCACCAAATACCTCAGGCCAAAAAAGGTCACAAAATGGAAAGGACTTTAAGCATTCGAGATGCAATGTTTGCTATCACTTCATTACTGCGCTGTATCTCTCCTTTGGCTCTTGAATTATTGTTACCAAAGGATAGGATGCCACAGCTCTTGCTGGATTTGCTTTGCTGCATCCCCTTGATTATAAAAACAGTCAACTTGAGGAAAACAAAACAAACCAAAAAATAACAAAACCACCTCGAGAATGGCTCGTCTGGCCTCAGTTTGTTTTTCTTTTTCCTTTTCTCGAGTTTTTTTGGTTTTGTTGGGTTTTCCTTGGTTTTTTTTGGGCGCTTTTGGCGCGAGAAAGCCAACACACCAAAGATCTGGGGCCAGACCAGCCATTCTCTGTTTTTTTCAGTGACGCAGCACCCCTGCAGAGGCCCAGCGACTCAAAACCATCTCCAACCACCAGAGTTGGCTGGCTAAGTTTTCTGTCGCCAATCCTGCTGTGTCTGCTTTAGGTGACCTATGTCTGCAAGCGCTGCGGGGGAAGAAGCCCTTCAATATCTTCTTTCGGCCCTGTGTGAAAACTTTAGCGGGCAAGGTCTCCCGGTGTGACTTGGTGCGGCCGCGTTCCCCCGCTGTCGCTGATCACCGTGATGATGACGACGGTGATGATGACTACGCATTTTCAAGCCGCTTCCCGCACGCCTCCCCATCTGAAAGAAAGGGGGTCGGCGCACATATGTTTTCTGAGGGCTACCCTCTTTTACCTAAGTAAGGAAAGCCAAAAGGAGAAACCGGCCACTTTGGTCCAGTGGCCTCCCCGTAGGCCAACAAGGCGGTGGTCTTGGCCGCGGTGCGGCGCGATGGGGCGCTGCTGGCTGCGGCGCCGGCTCTGCCGATGCCCAAGGGCCCAAGGGTTGGGCATTGGCCAAATGCGTGGCTCGTTTTTTTCTTTTTTCTTCTCCCCTTGGTTTCCCTTTTTGGGAGTCAGTACACTTTTGTGTGTTTTGTATGACAAACATATTTTTTGTTTGTTTTGTTTTTGTTGGGAGTTGGTACAGTCTTAGATGTTTTGTATGAGAAGCAAAAATTGTTTTTGTTTTTTGTTGGGAGTTGGTACACTTTTATGTGTTTTGTGTGGGAAACAAAGGGAGAACTGAAATCCAGTTTGGAAAGAAAGAAGGAAAGACACGCCCATTTGGTACCACTAGGGTGGTGACAATTTGCGTAAGTGAGACGACTAGGGATTGGTTGGCATACATGGTTATAACCTACTCACTCAATAGGTTGAACAATATCCATCATCCAAGCAGACTCCGGCCTTTAAAGCGAAACCACAAGGAGTTGGGTGAGGCAAGATTGACTTAAACATGTGTAAAAAATGGGGGGGTGGCCCTACCGGGGCGGTGAAGGGGACGACGCATCCCTAGTTTGCACGGGGCGAATGAGAGCGTGGCAACTTGCATGTTTGCCGCCTCGCGCTTTGTTTCGGCCGCATCGCGGTCATTCCCAAGGCAGCGAGACAAGGATGTGGTGCTGGCGGCCGTCCAGCAGAACCCCGCGGCGCTGGAACACGTATCCCAGTCCCTGAGGTATGATAGGGCTGCTTGGCGCGTGACTTGCGAAGTCTTTTTTGTCTGCGCGGAGAGATGGGTTGAGATTCTGAGATCCGAGGACCTCTTGAATTTATGCCTGCAACCTTGAGACCGGACTGTGCCACTTCGGGCAGGCCTTCTACTTGAGGACTTCGTTGGAAAAAGAGACACCTGGAAGGTGTAGTGGCTGACTGGGAATGCATAACTCACTGAACTTTTGCAAGTCGAAAGTCGATGGGAAAGCCGGCACGGATGTGATGAGTTGGAAAGATGAGAGCTGGACAAAATGATCGGTCGTCTAGTGGAGAGCATGAGGTGAGGGCAATCCAATTTTCCCATAGGCCAACACCTTGGCAGGACGTGCGGGGACGCGGTCAGAGCCGGTGCTATGTGCAGATTGTGCGAGCGGAAAAGAGGCATGCCCGAAGTACGCCTCGTATTTGTTTCAATGGCTCGAGGGGAGAGACATGATGTGCTTGCCGCAGGGTCCCACTTGCAGATCAGCTTTCTTGGTGGCGCCCAAAATGCTGCCTTGCTGACGAAGGTCTGTGTTGCCAGGCATGGTTGGGCAACCGTGTCAACAGTTCACTTAAGTCTGCACAAGACGCACAGAGAGTGACTTGTTTGTGTGTATTGATTGTTGGCATTGTTGGTCCGGCATGGACTGCGAAGGGGACTTTGAGTTGACGACCAGCAGCATGCAACAGTTGTTGCAGGGGTATGTCCGTGTGCTCAATGTGTGTGCAAGACGGAGAAGAAGCACGGTCACTTGTTGAAAGGAGTGTCGGCACTGTCAAAATCAGGGGCCTTGTTGGCAAGTCAAGGTTTTGTGACCAACCCAGTGCGTAAGCGCAGTCCAGTCTTAGTCCCAGGAGCCTGTGCTTTTGGGGTCATCCTGTTTCGGCGACTGGGCTCAGTCTGTGAACAATGGGTTTGTTGATCCGGCATATTGAGTGAGTAGGAGACTGTGAGTTGGCGACCAGGTTGAAGTGCGACATATTTGTGTGATCATGTGTGTGTGTGTGTGTGTGTGTGTGTGTGTGTGTGCGCCTATGTGCGTGCGAGACGGAGAAGAGGCACGGTCACTTGTTGAAAGGAGTGTCGGCACTGTCAAAATCAGGGGCCTTGTTGGCAAGTCAAGGTCTCCTGACCAACCCAGTGCGTAAGCGCAGTCCAGTCTTAGTCCCAGGAGCCTGTGTTTTTGGGGTCATCCTGTTTCGGCGACTGGCCTCAGTCTGTGAACAATGGGTTTGTTGATCCGGCATATTGAGTGAGTAGGAGGCTGTGAGTTGGCGACCAGGTTGAAGTGCGACATATTTGTGTGACCATGTGTGTGTGTGTGCCTATGTTCGTGCGAGACGGAGAAGAAGCACGGTCACTTGTTGAAAGGAGTGTCGGCACTGTCAAAATCAGGGGCCTTGTTGGCAAGTCAAGGTTTTGTGACCAACCCAGTGCGTAAGCGCAGTCCAGTCTTAGTCCCAGGAGCCTGTGCTTTTGGGGTCATCCTGTTTCGGCGATTGGCCTCAGTCTGTGAATAATGGGTTTGTTGATCCGGCATATGGAGTGAGTAGGAGGCTGTGCGTTGGCGACCAGGTTGAAGATGCGGCATATTTGTGTGACCATGTGTGTGTGTGTGCCTATGTGCGTGCGAGACGGAGAAGAAGCACGGTCACTTGTTGAAAGGAGTGTCGGCACTGTCAAAATCAGGGCCTTGTTGGCAAGTCAAGGTCTCCTGACCAACCCAGTGCGAAAGCGCAGTCCAGTCTTAGTCCCAGGAGCCTGTGCTTTTGGGGTCATCCTGTTTCGGCGATTGGCCTCAGTCTGTGAATAATGGGTTTGTTGATCCGGCATATGGAGTGAGTAGGAGGCTGTGAGTTGGCGACCAGGTTGAAGTGCGGCATATTTGTGTGACCATGTGTGTGTGTGTGTGTGTGTGTGTGTGCGCCTATGTGTGTGCAAGACGGAGAAGAAGCACGGTCACTTGTTGAAAGGAGTGTCGGCACTGTCAAAATCAGGGGCCTTGTTGGCAAGGCAAGGTCTCCTGACCAACCCAGTGCGAAAGCGCAGTCCAGTCTTAGTCCCAGGAGCCTGTGCTTTTGGGGTCATCCTGTTTCGGCGACTGGGCTCAGTCTGTGAACAATGGGTTTGTTGATCCGGCATATTGAGTGAGTAGGAGACTGTGAGTTGGCGACCAGGTTGAAGTGCGACATATTTGTGTGATCATGTGTGTGTGTGTGTGTGTGTGTGTGTGTGTGTGTGTGTGTGTGTGTGTGTGTGCGCCTATGTGCGTGCGAGACGGAGAAGAGGCACGGTCACTTGTTGAAAGGAGTGTCGGCACTGTCAAAATCAGGGGCCTTGTTGGCAAGTCAAGGTCTCCTGACCAACCCAGTGCGTAAGCGCAGTCCAGTCTTAGTCCCAGGAGCCTGTGCTTTTGGGGTCATCCTGTTTCGGCGACTGGGCTCAGTCTGTGAACAATGGGTTTGTTGATCCGGCATATTGAGTGAGTAGGAGACTGTGAGTTGGCGACCAGGTTGAAGTGCGACATATTTGTGTGATCATGTGTGTGTGTGTGTGTGTGTGTGTGTGTGTGTGTGTGTGTGTGTGTGTGTGTGTGTGTGTGTGTGTGTGTGCGCCTATGTGCGTGCGAGACGGAGAAGAAGCACGGTCACTTGTTGAAAGGAGTGTCGGCACTGTCAAAATCAGGGGCCTTGTTGGCAAGTCAAGGTCTCCTGACCAACCCAGTGCCCAAGCGCAGTCCAGTCTTAGTCCCAGGAGCCTGTGCTTTTGGGGTCATCCTGTTTCGGCGACTGGGCTCAGTCTGTGAATAATGGGTTTGTTGATCCGGCATATGGAGTGAGTAGGAGGCTGTGAGTTGGCGACCAGGTTGAAGTGCGGCATATTTGTGTGACCATGTGTGTGTGTGTGTGTGCGCCTATGTGTGTGCAAGACGGAGAAGAAGCACGGTCACTTGTTGAAAGGAGTGTCGGCACTGTCAAAATCAGGGGCCTTGTTGGCAAGGCAAGGTCTCCTGACCAACCCAGTGCGAAAGCGCAGTCCAGTCTTAGTCCCAGGAGCCTGTGTTTTTGGGGTCATCCTGTTTCGGCGACTGGCCTCAGTCTGTGTGTTATTGATCGTTGTGCCGGCATATGGAGTGAGTAGGAGGCTGTGAGTTGGCGACCAGGTTGAAATGCGGCATATTTGTGTGACCATGTGTGTGTGTGTGCCTATGTGCGTGCGAGACGGAGAAGAAGCACGGTCACTTGTTGAAAGGAGTGTCGGCACTGTCAAAATCAGGGGCCTTGTTGGCAAGTCAAGGTTTCCTGACCAACCCAGTGCGTAAGCGCAGTCCAGTCTTAGTCCCAGGAGCCTGTGCTTTTGGGGTCATCCTGTTTCGGCGACTGGCCTCAGTCTGTGTGATATTGATCGTTGTGCCGGCATATGGAGTGAGTAGGAGGCTGTGAGTTGGCGACCAGGTTGAAATGCGGCATATTTGTGTGACCATGTGTGTGTGTGTGCCTATGTGCGTGCGAGACGGAGAAGAAGCACGGTCACTTGTTGAAAGGAGTGTCGGCACTGTCAAAATCAGGGGCCTTGTTGGCAAGTCAAGGTCTCCTGACCAACCCAGTGCGTAAGCGCAGTCCAGTCTTAGTCCCAGGAGCCTGTGCTTTTTGGGTCATCCTGTTTCGGCGACTGGGCTCAGTCTGTGAATAATGGGTTTGTTGATCCGGCATATGGAGTGAGTAGGAGGCTGTGAGTTGGCGACCAGGTTGAAGTGCGGCATATTTGTGTGACCATGTGTGTGTGTGTGCCTATGTGTGTGCAAGACGGAGAAGAAGCACGGTCACTTGTTGAAAGGAGTGTCGGCACTGTCAAAATCAGGGGCCTTGTTGGCAAGTCAAGGTCTCCTGACCAACCCAGTGCGAAAGCGCAGTCCAGTCTTAGTCCCAGGAGCCTGTGCTTTTGGGGTCATCCTGTTTCGGCGACTGTCCTCAGTCTGTGTGTTATTGATCGTTGTGCCGGCATATGGAGTGAGTAGGAGGCTGTGAGTTGGCGACCAGGTTGAAGTGCGGCATATTTGTGTGATCATGTGTGTGTGTGTGCCTATGTGCGTGCGAGATGGAGAAGAAGCACGGTCACTTGTTGAAAGGAGTGTCGGCACTGTCAAAATCAGGGGCCTTGTTGGCAAGTCAAGGTCTCCTGACCAACCCAGTGCGTAAGCGCAGTCCAGTCTTAGTCCCAGGAGCCTGTGCTTTTGGGGTCATCCTGCTTCGGCGACTGGCCTCAGTCTGTGTGTTATTGATCGTTGTGCCGGCATATGGAGTGAGTAGGAGGCTGTGAGTTGGCGACCAGGTTGAAGATGCGGCATATTTGTGTGACCATGTGTGTGTGTGTGTGCCTATGTGCGTGCGAGACGGAGAAGAAGCACGGTCACTTGTTGAAAGGAGTGTCGGCACTGTCAAAATCAGGGGCCTTGTTGGCAAGTCAAGGTCTCCTGACCAACCCAGTGCCCAAGCGCAGTCCAGTCTTAGTCCCAGGAGCCTGTGCTTTTGGGGTCATCCTGCTTCGGCGACTGGCCTCAGTCTCTGTGTTATTGATCGTTGTGCCGGCATATGGAGTGAGTAGGAGGCTGTGAGTTGGCGACCAGGTTGAAGATGCGGCATATTTGTGTGACCATGTGTGTGTGTGTGTGCCTATGTGCGTGCGAGACGGAGAAGAAGCACGGTCACTTGTTGAAAGGAGTGTCGGCACTGTCAAAATCAGGGGCCTTGTTGGCAAGTCAAGGTCTCCTGACCAACCCAGTGCGTAAGCGCAGTCCAGTCTTAGTCCCAGGAGCCTGTGCTTTTGGGGTCATCCTGTTTCGGCGATTGGCCTCAGTCTGTGAATATTGGGTTTGTTGATCCGGCATATGGAGTGAGTAGGAGGCTGTGAGTTGGCGACCAGGTTGAAAATGCGGCATATTTGTGTGACCACGTGTGTGTGTGTGTGTGTGCCTATGTGCGTGCGAGACGGAGAAGAAGCACGGTCACTTGTTGAAAGGAGTGTCGGCACTGTCAAAATCAGGGGCCTTGTTGGCAAGTCAAGGTTTCCTGACCAACTCAGTGCGTAAGCGCAGTCCAGTCTTAGTCCCAGGAGCCTGTGCTTTTGGGGTCATCCTGTTTCGGCGACTCGGCTCAGTCTGTGAATACTGGGTTTGTTGATCCGGCATATGGAGTGAGTAGGAGGCTGTGAGTTGGCGACCAGGTTGAAGATGCGGCATATTTGTGTGACCATGTGTGTGTGTGCCTATGTGCGTGCGAGACGGAGAAGAAGCACGGTCACTTGTTGAAAGGAGTGTCGGCACTGTCAAAATCAGGGGCCTTGTTGGCAAGTCAAGGTCTCCTGACCAACCCAGTGCCCAAGCGCAGTCCAGTCTTAGTCCCAGGAGCCTGTGCTTTTGGGGTCATCCTGTGTTGCAGACTGTGTGCACTGGTGCATTGGCCTAATTGTGTTGTTTTTGTGTAACTGCGTTGTTGTATGTAGTGAACTTGAAATGGTGCTCAAGGATTAGGCAAAGGTCATATGAATGAGCAGCATGCAAACATTCTGCATAGCACAGCTAATCTAGAGGTTAATATGCAGAGCACATCGAATGTTCAACAAGACTGACCCGAGCACCCCCAATATGCACATCGAATGCGGCTCAACAAGACTGACCCGAGCACCCCTAGCTTGTTATCAAACTGCATGGCATTTGGATATTGCAAGTGCTGTTTCCGGCATATGCATCATGTGGCGCAGCGGCCATGACAGGCAGACATGAGATACCCTGAAACCAGGGGAAAGTGGGGGGCGTACGCCTCAAAGGTCGTACATGCCCTCAAGCCTAGGCGTGTGGCTCAAATAGGGCCCAAAATGGGTTACCCTGGTACATAGAAAATGGACAAGACCCGAGCCGCGGTCCCTTCGAACATTTTGAGCCACAGATCGATCGCCTCTTCCTGAGAGGCGTTGGTTTGGCACAAGCGCCGGCGTCTGCCGAGCGCCCTGCGCAGGCCAAGATCCGCACGCTGGCGCCATTGTCTCAAGAAGTGCAGTGTGTTACAAGAGGTATATATCATGTACACACACACACACGTCAGAAAAGGACTCCAAACAGTGTAGTTCTCACAGGGAGTTTGGCATGAACAGGTGGAGGCACACGTCCCACAGCCTTGCAGATATCTTTGAACTGTGCATATCCGGAGTGTCGAAACCTTCCCCCCCCATTAAGGTTCCGTTCAAAGAAAGGGTACCCAAAGCGCACCCATAATGCGAGGCCGCGCAAGAGGACGTGTTTGCAAATTCTTGCAGCATCTCTGCTCCAGATCCGAAACACACCTCAGCAAGATCTTTGTTAGGCAGCTGTCAAGATTTTGCAAGATCTCTTTCCCCGGCCGCAAGGCTCCATTTGAAACATATTTCTTGGGGACTGCAAGATCTCTGCGCGAGTGTAGCCCGTTTCCCTGCGAGCCCCCCAGCCTATGGAGCGTTGTGATCCTGAAAGCCGCGGAATGCCCCCCGTGTTTTGGGCCATAGAGAGGCCCCGCGAGGCATTCACTAAACGAGGGCACTAAACGAGGGTAGGTTGGAAGCGATGTCCTTCGGAGGTGCGGAGGCGGAAGGTCTCGTTCCGGCCCTTCTTCGACTCCCTCAACGAGTGCAAGCGCCGGGGCGACTGGCCAGTCCGGCGAGTTAGAGAGGGCCGCCCCACGTTTTTGGTCGGCCCAAAGGACGAGAGAAGCAAAAACGATGCCAGACTTGGAATAGACTTGGAATAAAGATCACGAACATCAGCTTCGAAGGGGAAGAAACAACAAAAGCCGAGTTCACTTTGCCGGAAAAAAAGAGAGAAGAAGCAACAGAAAAAAAGGCAAGACGAGCCGTGCGCATTTTTTTTTTGGCTGGGAGTTGATCTGCGACTATGGCACTTGCGGCTGGCGCTTTGCGCGGAGGCTTGGCGCCCTGGAGCTGCTGCATGCCGTGGGCCAGCAAGGCTGGGGAGCGCTCAGCGGCGTTTTTGGGGGTGTGGCTCGAACATGCGGTGGATGGTGGCGAAATCCATTTCGCGCCACTTAAGAATCCCTGGTTTCTGATAATTCCAATGTAAACACCAACAAACAATCCATTTGGTACCACCGTGCACAAACCATGGTTGAAACAATGGTTTGTTGGCACTTTTCAGGGGAATCATGGTTCCAGGGATTCTGAGGTGGTGCAGGATTTCGTCCATCCACAGTAGGACTCGGATTTCCCTTGGGCTACCCTAATCATTGGAAAAACCTAGTTGCAGGGCCACATTTGATGCAATCAACGAGTGGCCCTTGAAGTGGCAAAGCGTTCATGAGTTTGGCCCTTGGCATCATAGGCTCGTGGGTATGGGTCAAGAACAAAAAGCCACCCGGGGGAGGGGGGTGGAAAACACAAAACAACACGGAGGTTTTAGTCCTTGTTTCCAACATTTCAGGGTTCGCCCCAATTTGGGGTTATACCCAATTTTTTTGCCCACCACCACCCTCGTTTTTTTTGGTTCCACTCCCCGATGCGCGGAGTGGGCGGTTCGCATCACGCATCGAGGCCTCCAGCCCAACAAGGTGGCCAGCACCACGGCGGTGGCCGCCTGCGCTGCTGGGCAGACCGGGGAGCGAGGCTCCGGCTGGGAGGGGCACGTTTGTTTTGGGAGGGACGTGGACGGATTTTGAGCACGGCGTAAAAATTCGACTGAGAGGCCATGGGATATTTTGGTTGTTTTGAAATTGGGCGTGTCTTTTTTTACGGGCCCCTTGAAATGAGGGATTTTCCTTTGAGTTGCCGTTTAAAGACCGACCAAAACCACACGTGCGTCGTGCGAGGCGGCATCAGCACGCCAGCGCCGCGCTTCTGGGGCACCAGAGAAGTGGGCCGCTGGAGATGGGCTGCCGCTCCGCGAAAAAACCCGCGTCCGTCCGTGCCGTCCGTGCCGTCCGTGCCGTCCGTGCCGTCCGTTTTGCAGCTTGATGCGAATGAGACACATTCACCACCAGGAGGCGTCGACCGTTGGTTTGGAACTTCGAAGCTCCATATCTTCCGCGAGCCTGTCGGAACGCTTGAAACCTAGGTCCCCCAGTAGTGCCCTTTTTCACCCCTTTTTCTGGGGAGGGTTCCCCTACCATAGGCTCCCTTATTCTAACCTCTCAAATCTGGAGGACAGCTCCGACCGGTCCCGGAAATCGGTCGATTTGTCGATTTGAGGTGAACCTTGTTGACGGGATGCGCGCCCAGCAGCTGGAGACCAACTTGTTCGCATGGCCGGGAACCCAAACAGCGAGAGCGAGGGGCGAGCTTGTGAACTCTCTGCTTGGCGGCTTGGCTGGTACCAAAGCCTCATTTTTGGATGTTGCCGACCTCGCAAAAAAAAGAACAGAGGCTTCTTTCAAGACTTGGCTTCTGGTTTTCCCAGCCATTTGGTTCCTTAGCTTTTTGGCTCTTTAGGGTGTAGTCACTAGTAAAAAAACAACTCGTGGCCGCCGGATCTAAACACCTCTCCACCAGGGGCGCCTGCGTCGCCGCCTGTGAAAAGGCGGAGTTTGGCCGCGCGCTTGGAGTTTGGTTTTTTTGAATATTCAGACCGGTTCCCCTTTGGGTGGGTTTCCCTTCTGGTTTCCCTTTAAAAGACAAATGTTGGGACCCGTCCCAGTTCAAGTTGAGCTAGATTCAGGTTACCCCCAGTTGGTTGATTCATAGGTTCCGGTTGAAGAGATGGAGCCTGCACTTTTTGGGGAACCGCCCTGTGGTTTGGATTTGAGCGTCTCTGGTTCTTGTACAATTGGGGTTTCCCTAGCACCGAACCGCGCTCCAAACCAAGAGGGAGGCTGACTCTTGGTGGGTTCTTCAGACTCGAGACGTGCCCTCGATCGCGCCAAAGCAAGGCAGCTTCTTGCCACAAAGCAGTGGTGGAAATTCTGGCGCATTCCATGAGCGAAGAGGCCGGGTTTTGGTTGCCCGTGCGTGCTCTGCCTACCAATTCATCCTTTTGTTGGGAGCCCTGGTTTGATGACTTGCCCTGTAGCGAATGTTTCTTTAACATATTGCAAGATGACTCTAGCAGGCCTCAGGTTTTTTGGGCTGTTGACGCATGGATCTAAAGATTTTGTATTGTGAAGGGCAGCATTTGCCCAAGTTCAAATACTGTTGAACCCGGAGCCCCCGAAAAACATCCTCATGGATGTCAATTCCAAAAGCCCTGCAGCGAACCTCCGTCTATTTCCGATTCAATATCAGCTTCCGCCCTTAGGTTGAGCCCAAATGGCTTTGTCTCATGACCCTTTCCCCCCAAAAAAATAAATATGTAGAGGACAAGCCGCAGCTCAAACACATTTTCTCGGCCAAAAACGGGTGATTTTCGGCGCGTCGCCGAAACTGCGATGTTCGCGATTCGCATCGAATTTTTTGAGGCCCTTGGCCGCTGGGCCTCGATGTGCTGAAGACGGCCCAGCACCAAGGCTGCGGCGAGGGCGTGGTGCCCATGAGCAGCGCCTGGAGCCCGGCAAACCGCCACAAAAAGGGAAAAAGAGAGGCTCCGTTCTGGGGTCCGAAACTTTGGGTGCATTTTGCCAAGGGATGTCAGGACCTTAACTTTGTGCCAACTAATGGGTTTTCCGTATTAATTAAACCACCAAAAGTTACACTGAGAAAAGGGGCCCCGGATGAATAGACCCTTGTTTATTGGTATGGGGGTGTTCCCCTCCAAAAGTGGGCTCGTTTCCTCCCCAGTTGATTGCCCATTTGGCATTTCGGTGGGCCATTTGGCACACGAGCTTATGTTTTTTTCAGAACCCAGAAGGCGAGGCCATGTCCTCCGGAACCACGCATTTTGATCATGGCTCATATGGGAAGCCAAGTGTCCGTTGCGGGGTGCTGTTTTTTCTACTCTCTTTCTTATCATCGATTCTTCCTTGCGATTCAAATAGTTGATTTGTTTACTCCCCTTATGCTGAACCACCCATCAGAGGAGTCTCCGTTGCTTCCAGATTCGGGTGTAAACCTTCCGGCGGACGCCGTTTTTTCGAACGCGGAGCTGGCGAGGCCATGGCTTGCTGCGAGAAGTCGCGCTTGGGCTGGGACCGAGCTCTGGGCATTTTGCGCCTCATGCCCGATGCCCAATCCCGTCTCCTTGCTTGAAGACGTCTTCAGGGTTTGCCGTCTCCGGGCCGACGCGTGGTCAGTTTTTTTTGCCACCTGTCAAAGGAGAAGCTTTTGGTTTCCCTTTGGGTTTCCACTTTAAAGAAACCCACCAAACAAAAAAGGACCTCGAAAAATGTGACGGCCGGAGTCGCCGTTGTTTTAGCCCCGCGGTTTGAAGGGATTGGGAAATGAACCTTTCAGGGAAGCGTGGTTAGGGGTTCTCAAACAATCACAAGGACCAAAAGGGGCTCTCGTTTTGGACTCCTCAAAGGATGGTTCAGATGCTCTCCCTGTAAATACCAACAAACCTTATGGTTTCATTCCCACGGTTTCCGACCGGTGGTGGTGCGATTTGTTTGGATTTCGGTTTCAACCATCCACAGCCAAACACCTGGCTCTGGGTCAAAAATAGGGTACACCCGAAATGAGCCGGAATTAAATCCCGGGTGGATGAAGGTTAGTGGGGATACTCGCAACCATATTTAGCTGCGGCCGCCTTCTTGATTCTTTACATGGTTGGTAGCGAATTTTCATACCAGGTTTTGAAATTATGACTCAAATGGGTCGCATTTTATGGGTTGCCACAGATGCGGTTTGCTTCTTGGGGAACCTTTTGATGACTCAAATGGGTCGCAAGTTTCCGGGTTGCCACAGATCCCCTGCCCCGCCCCATGACCACATCACCCCCACCCACCCCACCCACCTTGGATCTCAGCTTGCCTTTCGTGAGGCCCAGAAGCTCCGTGGAAGCCAACGTGGTGAGCCTCGGAGCCTCGGAGCCACATTCGAACCAATCCGAGTCGAGTCCCCTGAAAGGAACTCGCGGTTGAGGTTTTTTGGTACCCGGTTTGGGGTTGGTTCAAAGGGGGGAACTAAAGGGAAGACCACGGAAATTGTGTGGGCTAGCCCTTGCTCAAGTTTCCCAACCGCAATCTGCAGGATGCGGGAGACATGCCTTGCATTGAGGGACCTTGCTTCACTCAATTCTTGGAGCACGGGGCTGCCAGATGGCAACGTGAGCAGCCTAGTTGCTCGCTGAGGGGCAGCCATTAGCAGCTGTGAGAAGAGCACGATCTGGGCTCCTGCTTTGGTCGGGAGGCCCAGAATTTCCGCGGCCCCAACGCATTCTGTGCTCCTGGGGTTTTCTGAGGCTGCAACGGCGTGGATGCACACACGGGCATGAACACGGGCCTGCATGCGAGTAAACTTCCATGAGGAAACGAGGCAGTGCACAGACCACTTTTGGAAGGCTTTGCTGTTGGGAGGCTTCTGCAAGAGTACCACGGTTGGAGTACATTGATGCGCAAGCTAAGGGCTTGCTGGGCGCGGCACGACGCAGCGGCTTGCAGCCCAACACGGTGTGACCGGAGAGAGCGGATGGGCCAGTTTCCCTAAAAAGGCCCCTGGGATTCAGTCTTGGCAAATGCTCCACAAAATTGAGAAGGAAACCAAAAAGGAGGTCCCCCAAAAGGAGATTCCTGAAGCAAACACCTAGTTTTTTAATGTTCCATGTGAATCTGCAGGAGAGGAGGAAATAGAACCCTGCGTGTCTCAGTTATCATTCTTTCACGCGCACCGCATCTCAAGTCTCTCCTCACAAGGGCAAACGAGTGCTTTCAAGAAACGGTGACTGGTTGGTTCCCTTTCTTCCGTTGGTGTTACATCCTCCCATTCTTCGCCCCGTTTTGGGAGAAGCGGCGACCCCGCATCAGGGGGGCCTGACACCTTTTTTTCAGGGAAGAAGTCGGGGAAGCCACCAGAAAAGCACGGGTTTAGGTTCCTTTTTTAACACGGCAGATGCTAACTCAATACTGCAAGTAAACCAACCACAACCCATGTTTGGATGGTTTGCAAAGGGACACTGAAAGGACCACCATTTTTCGGGGTCCAACCTAAAGACCGACCCATTTGGCTGTGGGTCACAAACCAATGGTACCATTTCGGGGTAGGTGAATTCACCACCCATTTTGGTCTATTTTAGTGGTTGGATTGGGATGTTCACTGGGGGTACGATTCGGATTTTGACCCATGGCCATCTGACGCATTTCAACCCCTCCAGATTGCGGTGAACGCCGCCATCTCGGTGTGCGAGAAGTTCGGCGCCTGGGAGGCGCGAGAAAGATATGGGCTGTGGACCTGCTAGGGCAACCCATTTAGGGTTTACCAACATTTTGGAGTGACCCAGAGCCAGGTGCTTGGCTGCGGATGGTTGAAGTCCAAATCCAATCAAATCGCGCCACGCAGTGGCGCCACGGGAACGAAACCATCGCCCTTGCGGCAATTTAAGTTGGGGAGTCGAAGCATTGCTTTGTAGTTCTGAACGGTGGTGCGACATGGATCTCGTGCATCCACAGTCTGGCTACGTGTGGGAGGAATGGGGAAACACAAATCCCAAAATGGTTGATGGACATAATTGCATATCGTAGACACCCAGTTGGCCCTTTTGCCCTCGCATCGTAGCCACACAGAGGATTTCTTGATTCGCATCCAAGCCCTGGCAGACATTTGGATGTGTATTCAGTGGTTCCAACTTTCAACGGTCCTTCCAGGAAACCGCTGAGCACCTGCCAGCAAGTTTCGTTCTTGACCAACCGTTGGCCAGAAAAAAGCTGGGTCATGAGAGAACTGGGCCCCCCAAGACGGGGCCCGCGTTGCCCCTTTTTCAAAAATATTTGCTCTTTTTCCCCAACAGCTGAAAGCTTTGGGGTCTCAGCCCAGATAGGCTCCGGAGTGGTCCGGGGCGGCCCTGAGGTAAGGTTCCACGAGGGTTCCACCAGGGTTCCACGAGGGTTCCACGAGGTTCTGCGAGGGCTGCGAGGGGGGTGCGAGCACTAAAAAGCGCACTGCATGCTGGGGATATCACCTGAGCTTACTTTTTATACAATCTCAAAAGTTTCAATTCCAATCATAAAATGTATTTTAGATACCGTTTTGATACATAGATGATGTACCGTCTGGGGCTTTTTAGAGGGCCGCCGTTTAACGGGTCCCGGCCGAGTCGCGTTCGCTTTGTTCAGACGGCCATGGAGCTGCTGCCGGCCAGTGCCACCGCGGTGTCCTTTGGGGCCGCCCTGGGAGCCTTCGAGCCAGGCGCGCGTGGGTGGAAGTTAGAGGGGGTTTTGGGCGGAGATTGCAGGATCCAAATCTCATGTGACTATATATATATATGTATATATACATACATATATATATATATATATATATATTCTTTAAACCATATTTTTTCTCTTGTTCTTCAGAGGTCTTGAGAAGTGCAAGATGACAGGCATCCAATCAAGTGGTCTGGAGCCGCCAACGGAATTGCTTGGGACTCGCAGCAGCAACAGATTAGAGCTGCTTCTTCTCCAATGGTTGTGACTTGGCAATGCTATGAACAATGCTTCACTGCCGCCACCGCTGCCACCTCCATTTGCATCAAAGACAAACCGAAAGGACAACCCCCATTCTTGGGTCCAAATCCCTACTTTGACATGACATAGACATATATATATATATATACACATATATATATATACACATATATATATATAGAAATACACATATCCCTTTGTAAAGTCCTGGTCTCACTTGGGCACGCGCAAGGGGCGCTTGCTCGCTCCCGCAGGCGGCTGGCCTTGGGCGCTGCAGCTGCTGAGGCGCCTGGCGCAGCGGGGCCTGCAGCCGCTGGTGAGCACAATGCCGCGGCCTCAGGCGCCGATTCGGACGCCGGTGTCTACGGGGCTCGTACGTAGCCCTTGTTCATACCGGTTCCTTGGCTTCCGTGTTTTTTTTTTCCCACCCACTTTATAAGGGTGTATACCCCTTGTGGGGAGAGGGGCATGAACGTCAGCAGGCCTTTTGGTCCAAGGGGTATGTAAAAGGGGTATGTACAAGCACCCCGGGACAGTTCTGCGAATCCCAAGCGGCTGGCAGAATCCAACACCGGAAAATGGGGGAGGGGGCGGGACAGGGGGGGAAAGAGGGGTGCGTTTTGCTGCGATTCAAATGCCCTGTTGAGTTTTGAATCTTCCGAATTCAGCATGGGGTGGCAGTTTTATGGGTTTTGGAGCTTAATTTTGGGGGTCGGGGGTGTGGTTGGGATGGGGTGAAGGTTTTGGGACCAGCATTTGCGCCAAGGCTTTCAAGCAATTCGGTCCATTGCTTGCATTCTCGGATTCATTTCTCGTTTTCTCTCAGGTCCTTTCTAGACGAGTCATTTGAATTGCAGTCGCTGGCGAACACGTGTTGACTCATTTGCATCCCTGAGCTACCTCTGAGCGGGAGAGAGAACCTCCAAGTGAGCCGCACAGACCCAGCTTTTGCCTTCCGCTTTCTCAGGAACTCCGCCTTGGGGGCTTTGGGTTCCACCTGGCGCTGGGCGAGTGAGCTGCTAGGCGAGTCTGATTGATTGCGCCATGCTCAAGGGGATTTCTTTCTTCGAGGGTGCCCTTTTTTGGTTTGGTTCTTGGTTGTCACTTTCAACCCGAAAGGAAAGCAGCGTTCATTTTTTAGGGTTGTCTTGAGTTGTGGCACCCTTTTTTGGGGTTGGTTTAAAGGGAACCCCGCAAAAAGAATGTGGGGTACCCCTTGTTTGTGCTTCAGGAAGACTTTTGCCGCAGACCCAAATGCAGGTCCTGGAGTCCTGAGTTGTTTCGGGCAAGTAGAGTGCGAAGCATCGACGTCGGGATGGGGTCGAAAACTTGCTGGTGCTCAGTCGGGAATGACCGAAACCGGGAAGGGGATTCCCTTAAAGGAAACCATGGGGATAGTACTCATTTCCTGCTGAGCATCGGCAGACAAATTGCTGCCCCCCTGACATGGGGGCAACTTAGAGGGGACTGAGTCTGCGGGTTTTTGTGGCTGAAATCTAAGGAGCATCCCGTGTCCAGAACCGCGCATGGTAGCTAAAGGTTAGTGGTCAGCTTTTAGCCATAGGTGTGGAGATCTGCCTTGAATTCAGGATGTTTGGTACGCATGTGCCATGGGTAGGGACGGTCATGGACCTTTCAGCGAATTTAGACAACCATTGTTGACCACTGCCCACAATTTGGAAGTTTGACTACAGACATGGCGATGTTTTTTCCGATTGGGAACACTCCGGACAATGGTTGGTGGACACACCTCCCCATGCAATCATGCCCAAAGAATCCAACTTCTCACCCCGAAAGGTTCCAAGTTTCCATTGAACCAATCAGCAGGAAGAACAAAAACACATTTTTTTCTCCTGAGGATTATCCTCCAAACCGGGTCCCCAGTTGCCACTTCTTTTTTTTTAAAGGATCGCCTATGACTTCTGACGTTCGTTCAGGCCACGATGGCCTGTCGCCCGACACGGTGAGCATGGGAGCGGCGATCGGCGCCATGGCCCGCGGCCCGGCTCCCCGGACCCGCCGTTGGCCCGGAGAGAGCAAAGGAACCGACAGGGGGGGACTTCGTGGGTAACAACTAGGTCCCCCAGCAATTGGTGCCCTTTCTCACCGTTGCTTTTTTGGTTGGGAGGGGAAACCCCCTACTAAAATAGACTACAGGAGAAAAGTTGGAGCAACTTATTCTAACCTCGCTAGTGGAGGACCTGCACAAGCTTAGTACCCTGCCCCTTTAGGGCAAAAGTCCTGCAAGTGGGTATGAGGATCAAAGCCATACCAGAACACAGGTGTTGGTCCAGGTTGCCAGTTAGGCTTCAATATTTTGGGTACCCAGTTTGAGTAGCCACGTAAAGGGAATGACAAAGCACAAATTGGGAAATTCTGCCAAGTGTTCCCCAACTGTAACCATGAATTCTGAATTGATTGGAAACCAGCTAACTGATTGGGCCCAACATGGATTTTGGGTTCATGTGGAGGTAGAAAGCTTGAATTGGGGGGGAACCAGTTGGACCTACGAACCTACCCACGTCCGCACTCTTTAATTCCGTGCCTAGTTTCCTTGAGATGATCAGATGTCTCGCCGCTTCCGCTTCCTTTGTGACCATGCTCGGATGCTGTCCACGATCCTAGGCTGTCACAGTTCAATTCCAAAGCTTGGAGCTTGCCCACGGTCCGTGGCAGCTCACTTGGCTTGGCGACAGGGCCAACTTGTCGCCAAGAGCGGCCCAACTTTTCCGAGCTGAGATCAAAGCAGACTCGACTTGAGGCGTGGCGCCAGGCTGCGAGGCCCCGAGTTCGGAGCTTGGGCCCAAAGAGAAAGAGGGGGGGGGGGCAGACTTGGGTTTGTCGCCTTTCCTCGAAAAGGGGGCTGCGCTGAAATGGCTGGCTTTCCTTTTGGCTTTCCTTGAAGCCAACCGAGAGGTACGACGGTACGACTGCTCTGAGGAGTGAATGAGGGAAGGTGCCCTATGAATCCGTCCGTGTTTTTTTGTTTGCAATGGAACTGAAGTTAGGTTGTTAAACCTTTGTCATTCCCTCAGACACAGCGTGAATCCTTGTAGGTTTCGTGCTCAAACCATTGCAAAGACACGATTGCTTTGGTATTCCAAGTTCACTGCTGGTCTCGCCGTTTTTTGGCGTTTCTCAAAAAGGAGACCCTAAACCCAAGCGATGTCAGATTCTTAAACAACGCCACCATGAAACCCACCCATTTTGGGGGTCCCTTCCCGGCCATCAAGTCATTCGCGAGTGATTGTTTTTTGAAAAACCTTTCTGGGGGTAGCTTTAAAAGGAAACCACTCGGAAAACCTTGCGCCCCACTGGCCCCCGACGACTTCCTTTTGACTCGGTTGGACTCGGAAGGGGCCGCTGCCTGGTCTCAGCAGCCTGCGACGCCGGCTGCAGCGGTGGCCAGGAGACCACAGCTCACAAGACGCCCTGGTGCTTCAGGCAGCAGGCGACTCGAGTCGCGAGTCGAGTCGAAGAGGTTCGTGATCAACATGTCTTCTTTTTTGGGGACCCCATCAATTTGGGCAAATGCCCTTTTTGGATGATAGGGAAACCAAGAGGAAAGTTGGGTAAGGTGTTGCTTGTGGGCAACCTGCTGCCGTCCTGTGCCGCCCCCTATTTTTGACAGAACTCATTTTTCCATTTTGACAATCCCAAAATATCTGGATTTGTATATGTTCTTCTTTGGCAGAACTAGAAGGGGTCTCTGGAACATTGACCCATACAATTCGTACTACTTGAAATTTGGGTGGTTCATCACCAAAGCAAAGCAAACTGGCTGGATCTTTTCTTTTACCCTAAACATCCAAGCCTCCCTCTAGGATCATTCCTAAACCTCTGCACAGATTCCCAGCGAGACTCAGCCAGCCGGAGGGGGAAGTTCATGTTGGGAATTCCATTTTTATAAATAAATACATATATATATACATACATATATGCATATATATATATATATATATGTATACATACCCAAGCTTTCCAGAAAACTTCAGGGTTCCACGGTGGGGCAAGGTGAGTAGGCATTGCCCAGAGAGCCCTCCGGGTTCCAAACTAACAGGTTCCGCTCACTTGCACGGGGCGAGAACGTTGGAGCTAGGTGAATCGCTACAAGGAGCTCGACTTGAGCCATCAAAACCCGGGTAGATGAAGGTTAGTAGGGGGCCCCAACTATAAATAGCCGCGGAAATTTCCGCCTCAGTTCTTTACGTCCATTTTTTTTTCCCCGGGCCTTGATTTCATGACTCACGTGTGGATCCCTTTCTTTAGGATTTGAAATTCTCGTACTAGTGATACCCATGCGAGGCCGCGCTGGCCGCTGGCTCCTGGCGCTGCAGGTCTTCCTTGATGCGGGCGAGGCGATGCTGGATTCGATTGGGAGACTCAGAGGGACGTCAGGCATGGCCCTTGCACTGCTATTGGGTTGGATCTTTAGACTTCAACTTGGGAAAGCAAGCGGGTTCCCATTAGACCCGCTCAAAAGTGGAAAACAAAATAAACAAAAACAAAACAAAAAAAACACACATAAAGCATGCAGAGGGGTCAACGGCAACCAAGCTTGGGGTTGTCAAGGCCCCTGGGGGCGCCCTTGGGGGGTGACCTCCGTCTCGAACGGCTCGGCCTTCACAAGTTCGACCAACTCGGTTCCGCCGCAGGCGGCGAAGCAGGTGCCGCTCAGATCCGCCGCAGGCGCCCGCAGTTTTGAGTCCTTCCCCCCTAAAAAATAAAATAAAACCAAAAAAGCAAATAGCCAACCAACAAAAACACACGTCTCATTTAAGTCCTTCATCTTTTTATTTGGACGGAAAAGCAAGAAAACAACAAACACACATTGAGGTGCCATGCAGGAGGGTCATGTGGGTATGGGTCAAATTCAACCACTAGGAAGGGGACCGCAGGTCACATCGTCCATGTTTCAATATTTTCCAGGGTTCAAAATTCATTTTGGGGTCATGGGAATGAACCCATTGTGGGTTTTGGTATTTGCGTGTAGCCATTTTTTTGCATCAGCTCATCTCGTGCTTTCTCTCCGGAGCCTCAGGGCCTGTCAGGGCCTCGCTGCTGTGGAGCCAAGCGGCCTGGTCCTGCGAGGTGGGCCGAATGAAAGGGGAAGGACACCAGTCCCGAGACCAGGGGCACACCAGGCGTTGATTTTCTTTGGGAATGAAACCAGGGGGAATGACACTTCTTTTTGTTTTTTTCCAGAGGGGTTGTAGCCCAACTCGAAGTTTATTGGATCCGCTTTTCAACCCCCTCGAGCGCCCTGTGATTCTTGAAGGGTTGCAGGTCCCAACGGCCGGCGTAGGAGGCTGACACTTCGCTTCTCAGGCTTGGATCACGCAAGATTGATTAATGCTCCTTTGAGCAACTTGCCAAGGGCTCGGGCCGAGGGGCACATGTTTGAACACAGCGCTGCCCAGGCTTGTGCTGAGCTGTACGCTGACCTTTTTCACTGAGTTGAAGCCATGATTGCTGTGACAAAATGTTGGGTCATAGCCTGTCCGACGACGCGCGCCGCGTTTGCCCTGTTCCTTTTCCAAGAAACGGCCGGGTCGTCCGTGGTCACGTCACCGGGGTGCGCAGGCCTCGCAGAAGCCCGGCGCTTGGCGCTTGCCCGGCGGCCTGGCCATTGCGCGCCAGGAGTGGCTGCTGCCGCTTTGAGGCCTCGAGGAGACGGGACATTTGTGGGTATGGGTCATGAAAACCACTAGGAATTGGACCGCAGGTTTTAGTATTTGCTTCCATTTGCGGTTTCGCAAAGCCATTCTGGGTGCCTATTTTTGAGCAACACCCATGTAAGGAACCCTGAAGTCCAGGGCCATCGAGGCTCCAGTGGGAATGGAAGGCCTTGACGACTTCTCCCGCACTCTGAACCAACCAGCCTTCCCACTGGCCTCAGGAGCTCAAGCGAGCATGCGAAGCACCAGCATGGCGCGCCAAAATGGAGTCTCTCTCTCGCTCTCTCTCTCTCTCTCTCTCTAAGTGGGAGCTCTACAAAGAAAGATGGGTTCCGGTTTGATTTTCTTTCCAAGCCCCAAGCAAACGGAGTCTCCCGTTGAAGGTTCAGTTGCTTGGGCTCCGGAAGCGTTTGCTTGGGCCTTGGAATGCGAAACCTGCAGCATCTACCTTTGTTTTATGGCATAAAATCAATGCGCGCTTTTCAGGATTTCCGATCCGCACCTATCGTGTGCTGACGTGGATTTGTATTTGTTTGGAGACACCTGTAAACTGGTTGGTGGGCATAAATTCAATTGTAAATGACCGAAGGGTCCCTAATTGAGAATTACACCAGAATCCTTTGCAATGGTCTTCTGCAGCTCATGGCTTGTACTGTCAAGTTGTTTTTATGTCCACCGCAGCATTTATCATGCGGCGCCGCAACAAGCTGCGGCCGCAGCCGCCGCCAGCGCCGCCGCCGCCGCACATTCAAGGCGAGACAAGTGGCTTTCTTGCTGTTCAGAACCAGTCTTTATTTGAGGGTACCCTTGGATTTGCAAGGTCCCCCCCTGATTTTGAGGGTCCTCCTTTAAGACATGGGAAGTCTAGCAACTTGCGACAGGCCAAGAATGGGGCGATTGGAGCCGGGCACCCAAAGGCGGCGGTCGCAAGCGGAAGCGGAGGGATGACTGGCACTCGCAGTGGGGCGAGTGGCAGTGGCGGGACGAGAACGACTGGGGCCAATGGGTCAAGAAGGATTGGGAGGACGACCAGGCCAGGGCGCGCGCATGCGAGTGTTGCAAAGCGCCTTTTGCTTGCAACCCGCTTCTTTTGAGCTTGAATGACTGCTTGAAGGCATGTAAGAGCAGCGCCCAAACCAAGTGGAGCTTGCCAGAAGGCATGTGGCATGTGTACACCTTTCTTTTTTTAAAAAGCGTGCTGGTACAACCAAAAAAGGTCGATGGGTCCCAAGAGGACCGTTAGAGCTGCTCATTCGACTGACCTTGCCAGGAGTCTGTGTGCACCAGCGTGCTTGGTGCAGCAGGCCTTTGGTTGGTTCGGTTGCCAGAAAAGAGCGTCACTCCAAAAAGGGTCCGTCGGTTTTCTGAGGGTACCCCGTTTTTTGGCGGCGGAGGGGGGGGGGGCAGGGGGGGGATCATTTGGGATTTGTCTCCAGCTTTGTAGCTGAAGCACCGGCTGCCTTAGACTTAGAAGGTTCTAGGTGCCTTTTCCTGAAGAAAACACCCTAGGTGTTCTCCCCATTTTTTCTGGCGTACGGCGCCAGGGAGCTCAACTACTACGCAAGCGCCCCCAACACCAGCGACAGTTTCGCCAGTGACTCCGTCGGAGAATAGCGGAGCGGTGCAGCCGAGACTTGGCCATGACTTGGTATGATCTTCAACTCACTTGCCCGGAGCGGATCAACCTTTTGACCTTTTGGTTTCCCTGATATGGCCATGGGTCAAAACCAATGGTACCATTTTGGGGTAGATGCACCACCCATTTTAGTGGATTGGGATGTTCACTGGGGGTACGATTTGGATTTTGACCCATGGCCATAGAGTACCCATTTTTAGTCATGGCCCCAAAAGGTGGACCATTTCTTTCTGTATCCCTAAGGGGCAACTGAGTTTACCTTTTGACCTTTTGAACAGTGGCGATTTGAACATGTTCAACTTTTGCATGGGTCCAAAACCAAGGAAAACAGAGCCAGAGGATGACGAGTCTTACTCAGAAGATGAACCAGGTGGGACATGCTTTGTAGTCGCTTTGCAGCTTGAGACTTGCCCGGTGCTTCCCTGCAAGCAAGCCAATATAGGGCAACCAGTCTTTTGCTTTCACCAGTCTTTCCATGGTTTCCCTTTCTACAATAGCTGGGTTTTGTTTTCACCTCTCTTTCCTTTCCATGTTTGTTCTTTCTTCAGCGCTGGGAGCGCTCTCTGCTTTTTGCTGCATTTCGATCTCCGGGCTTGGACTTTTTTCCGACCGCGAGCTTCCGCACCAAAATTTTCCCGCTGAGTTGTCCCTTCGCACGAAATGGGATCGCTCGCACGTTGCGGCGAGGCCGCCATTTCGATCCTTTGGTATTTTTTTGTGAGTTCGACCGCGCGACATCTGCCACGGTTTCCCCCTCCGGCTTCTTTTTCCTTCCTTCCTTCCTTCCTTCCTTCCTTCCTTCCTACCCGCCGGGATCACGATCGAGCGCTCTCGCACGCTCGCGCTTTTTCGCTTGCGCGTGTTGCGGGGAGGCAGCTACTTGCACATCATCAGCCCCCCGCAGCCCAAGAAGATGCCGCGCCCGGCGGTGGCCACGGCCGTGGCCACCGCCAAGTACCTCCCCCGGCCCAAGGTGCGGCTCCCGGCTGCGCCGAAGGCGCGATCCTGCTGGTTTCCTTTAAGGGAAATATCCCTAGATTCCCCACAAACGCCTACCTTATCGCAAGAAGATGGGGTCCGCGTTTTTTCTTTTGGGGGCTGGTTCTCTTCTTTTCTTTTGTGGTTTAGGGTGGGTTTTATTAGGGAAGCCAAGAGGAGAAGAGCCAACTTGGGGGGTCTCAAGATCATACAGGCCCACGTGCCTGGACAAGTTTTGGTTGACGGGACCCTCCAGGGAAGCCTCAGGAAGCCAGAGGCAAAGTGCTCGCGGGGCTCGCGGTGCTCGCTGATTCTTTCTTGGCTTTTCAAGTCGACCCAATTCCAAAAAGACTTTGACAATTTCGGTTTCTTCTCTTTTTTTTTGTGTGAACAACCCGAGCGAAATGAGCAGCCCCAAGGTGCAGGAGGGAGATGTAGGAGTTTGGTCCATGGGAGTTGGCACATTGGCACATATTCCAGTCCCCGAAAAGGGTTCCGATTGAAATGAAGCCGCCCATGGATGGCTGCGAAATCCCACGAAATCGCGAAACGAAATGAAACCATGGTTGAAACCAGAAGGTTTGTTGGTGTTTATTTTAGAACCTATTTGAGTGGTTGGATTGGGATGTTCTCTTGGGGTACGATTTGGCTTTTGACCCATGGCCGTATGGTGTTTTTTTCCCTTGAACACAAAGTACCGCTTTTGGAGGGAACACCCCCCCCCATAGGGGGTTTATTACTCCTGGGTCAACATCATGTTTTTTGGCAGCTGCATGCGGTGCGCCCGCCTTCGCAGGCGCGGCCAACCTGCAAGAGCTCCGCGCTGGTGCCGCTTCCGCCGCCGCCGGAGCGGGAGCCGGCGGGGCTTTTTTTTCTTTCTTCTTCTTCTTCTTCTTCTTCATGTCCTTTCCTTCTTTTTTTTCTGGGAAGGAATTTCTTTGCATTTTGCCAAGAGATGTTAGGACTCTAACTTTTTGCCGACCAATGGGTTTTCCATTAAACCACAAAAAGTAAAAACAACGAACGAGGTTGCAAATCCGCGCCAGGCACCCTGGGATGGATCCACCTACTTACTAGGAGCTTGTCCATCCACAGTACTTGAAGAATGGGTTGTTCAGACTGAAAAAAGAGCGGTTATCTGAAGGGATGCCAAGAAGCGGTCAAGACAATAGCGGTTGTTGCGACAATCGTGGAATCTTCGGGTGGTGAAGTAGCCTTAATGCATATGTTGTCTTTTTTTAGGGGACCTTTCATATATTCCTTTTGGTTTCCTTCTAAAACCAGAAACAACCGGGGGGGATCCTCCAAAAGACGAAGTCATTGAGCCGAAGCCCGCTGGTTCACGAGGCCTTCCAAGGCAGAGCTGGCCCGGCCGTGGGCAAGGTGTCCAGGTTTAACCTGACCTCCACGGGTCTGCGGGTTCTGCCCCCGTCCATGGGGATGTTCCGGAACTCCAAGCCCGGCAGCCCAGAGCCAGAGCAGCCAGAGCAGCCAGAGCAGCCAGAGCAGCCAGACGTCGCGCGTGGGCTGCCTTGGGAGGGAGTCGATCCAGGTTGGGAGCCCCAAATGGTCAATGACCCATCCAAATCTTGGGCTTGAAAGCTTGGGCTTGAAAGCTTGGGCTAGGCTCCAAGCTGCATCTGAGGCGCAGCCCTTTACCTGGACCACCTCCAACAGAGGAGTGTGTGAGGGGCCCTCACAGAAGGGGAGCGCCACTCAAAACTCCCGCGATGTGGTCGGGGCCATGAGCTCTTGAGGTCTCAAGCGAGATGCTTTGTGGTCCGATGTCTTGAGGAAAGCTATATGATTGACAGACTGTGTGTGTGAATCTGAACAAGCAAGCAGTGGACGGGAAAATGCATAATGGAGTCTCAGAGCAAGTAATGGTACAGCACCAGCCGCCTGCTAAGTGCACTTCCGCACCCGTTGAGAAATGCTGAGACACTGGCCGCCGATTTGAAACCGTGTGGCTGGCAAATGCTGGGCAGGGAAGCACCCTTGCGGCTTCTTTCCATCGAAACTGTACGTTGCTCACACTGCTGTGACGTCAAATTGGACGGAAGAAAGGACTCGCCAAGCAGGGACCCCTGCAAGTGGGGCGGGTTATGTCTTGAAGGAGATCCGATTTGTGAACCAGGGCTCTTGCGCAGGACCCGCCCTCCTGGGCGGTGGTACTCGATGTACCGGCGGCTTTGCCAGCCTTGCCTCCGGCAGAGTGCACGGCGCTTGCCCCGCTTGCACCGCCTGGGCCTTGCGCAGGCGAATGACGAGTCCACGAATCTTTGCAGCCTTTCGTGGTTTTGTTCTTCTTTTCGGGGGGCCATGGTCTTGCCTTTTGGCTGACTGGCTATCCAAGCCTTTCGCCGCGTTGCTCAAAATTTGGTCCCCTGTCATTTGTTGTCAACAGAGGTCCTTGTATTTCCCTTGGGTGCGGAAGCATTGCCTTCTGGGCCAAAGTTTCTTGAGTTTGCCTTGAGGGGCTTTTTTGGGAGATGCACCCCCCAAATTGTTCTCAGCGACCACCAGGGCTTCCCATCCTTTGCAGGTGACGATCTGATCAAAGTAGAGATAGACGAGGGTGCGGCCTCCGTGGCAGATTTGCTGAAGGCCGCTGGGGGGGATGGGATGGGGATGGGATGGGGATGGGATGGGGATGGGATGGGGATGGGATGGGGATGGGATGGGGATGGGATGGGGATGGGATGGGGATGGGATGGGGATGGGATGGGGATGGGATGGGGATGGGATGGGGATGGGATGGGGATGGGATGGGGGGATGGGGGGGATGGGGGGGATGGGGATGGGATGGGGGGGATGGGGGGGATGGGGGGGATGGGGGGGATGGGGGGGATGGGGGGGATGGGGGGGATGGGGGGGATGGGGGGGATGGGGGATGGGGGGGTTGTGGATGGAGACGGCTTCCCTGCCCGTGACTGACACAGTGATTTCAACGGGTCGAACGAAAACAAGCCTAAGTGATGCAGGGGGCCAATGAGCCCTCCACAGTGGGGCCCACAAGGGCCCACAATTTTCTCAAGGGAGGAACAAGTGGGCGCCAATCAGCTAACTGATGGCCTCGGTTTCGGTTGCTCTTGACGCGGTCAGGAGATGATCTCACCGAACGACACCGAATTCGTGCATGCAGTGCAAGCTGGAGGCTCAGATCGTAGGTTGCGCGTTCATTGATTTCGAGGTTTCTCAAGCTGGTAGACTCTTTTTGCAGGGGCAAGGGACAAGGCCCATTTCTCAAGTGACCAAACCCGCACTGCAAAATTTCGGTTTCGCCGGTCTTGGGTGGGATTCCCGTGGCGGCTTTCCCTTGTTTCTCAATGGAGTTGGTCCGAGGAGCCAAGAGGAACACCTGAAAACCTCCTTGAAGGCTTTGGTGTCGTCTCCTTTGGTTCAGCCATGGGCCAAATGGGACGCGCTTAGGTCATCAAGAGTCGCTTCGCGGCTGCACTTTCTGGAACAGGCGGGCTCGGGGGATTCGGTTTCGATTTTCGAGGGTGGTCGGTTTGAAGGGAGACCAAAAGAAAAAAACAATCCATTTTGGCTGTCCAGCTTTGACCACATGTCCATTGCCAAGTCGACGCTCGGGTTTCTGGTGCTTGCGCGGGCGAACTGGATGCTCAACATGTCAACTCAATTATACATGGCGATGTCAGAGGGTCTGCAGAGACTTAGTTTGGGGGGGCTATTTTTTTTCCGGTTTTTCTTTAGGATTTTTTCCTGGATGTTGCCTTATCTGGCTTCTGAGCTTCTTGGCTTTTGGCCTTTGTCTTCTTGGACTCTGGGCTTTTAGGCTTTTGGTTCGTGGCTTTTTGGTTTCTTGGCTTTTGGCTTGGGGCCTTTTTCGGCTTTTCGCTTTTTGGCTACTTTTTGTGGCCTTTGTGGCTTTGGCTTTCCGCATCCTCAGCATCACCAGTAACATCCGCCTTTTGGCCTTGTTCCCCACATCTTTGTGTGGGGTTCTTACTTTTACCGCCGTCCGCCGTCCGCCGTCCGCCGTCCGCCGTCCGCCGTCCGCCGTCCGCCCGCCCCGCCGCCCACCGTCCGCCGTCCACCACTCACTCACTCACTCACTCACTCACTCACTCACTCACTCACTCACTCATTCACTCACTCACACTCACTCACTCACTCACTCACTCATTCACTCACTCACACTCACTCACTCACTCACTCACTCATTCACTCACTCACTCACTCACCCACCCACTCACTCATTCACTCACTCACTCACTCACTCATTCATCACTCATTCAGTGTGTTTGTGTGGCCGGGGCAGCATTTGGCAGCTGTCTAAAGGGACAGGATGTTGTCGCGCGCGCGGCTCGTGGCGCGCGAAATCGTGGCAGGCGCAGTGCTTTGCAGATGCCGTTGCTGAAATCGTGGCAGGCGCAGCATTCTGTGCATTTGGGTGTGTATTTCTGTGGCAGTGGCAGCATTTGGCAGTTTCAAGGGACAGGATGTTGTCGCGCGCGCGGCTGGAGATGCCATTGCCGCAATCGTGGCAGTCGCAGCATTCTGTGCAGCTGGGCTTGTGTTTGTGTGGTAGGGGCAGCATTTAGCCCGTCCGCCGTCCGCCCGCCCCGCCGCCCACCGTCCGGCGTCCGCCCGCCGCGCCGCCCACTCCCTCCCTCCTCCCTCGCTCGCTTGCTCGCTCACTCAGTCACTCACTCACTCACCCACTCACGCGTTTCTTAATAAACATAGACATGTGGGGTTGTCCGGTCCTTTAACTAGCACAAAGTCAAAGCCATTGCTAATAAGCCCACCTCAAACCCCCCCCCCTAAAGCACTCAAAACCAATCCCCCCCCCCCTTTCGACACCAGCGCTAAACCCAAACTAAACCCGCTCTAAACCCCCCCAAACAAGTCCCACCTAAACACAGCCACCTAAACAAGCCTTGAACCCACCACGTGATGCTGAGGATGTTGAAAAGGATGCAGCCGAGTTAAAACGATGCCGGGGATGTTGACAGCGCTGGTGCCAATTCCAAGACAGAAAATCCATGAAAAATCCAAAAACAAATCGGGACCCCTTTGTTTGGGATGGATCTTTGGCAGGTCAGGCTGCAAACATCAACTTCGACGTGCAAGTGGGCAATAGTGGCGATGCGGGCTTCGGCGCGAGCGGCTTTGGTGGCTTCAGTGACGGCTTGGGCGGCGGCTTCGGCGACTTTGGCGGTGGCATAACTCCCCCAGCCATTAGCCCCGCCATCGCTGGCTCTGCAGGCCATCGTGTCGGGCTTGGGGCTTGCGAAGATTTTCAGGGGCCGATGTCCATTTGGGTTTGTCTCCAATTGCGGTAACCCCAAAAGAGCCTTGACAGAAAGAGACAGACACACACTCAACTCCGGCTCCCTATTGTGACGCATAGCCAAAAGACATTTTGGGAGGGACATGGGAAGGACGAGCCCTCATATTCCATCATGTCCTTGGGAACATATTTTGACCGCACTGCAGCTTTGAGAGGCGAGGATCAGTACTACTCTGGGAATGGCAGTTGGGTTAACGCATTGCCGCCCTCATTCGCCCGGGGCCACAGAGACGGGATGCAGCGTTTTCCCCGCTTTTTGAGCGGTGCCATCTACAGGACCTCCCTGCGAGACAGAGCCAGATGTTGAACTGGCCCCAGCATTGCGTCTGAAAGGCCTCAAAGAGCTGAAAATTGCCACGCAAACACGCGGGAGCATGGCTTTTTGTGTCACTGTGTGTGTCAGTGTGTGTGTGTGTGTGTGTGCGCGCGCCGCATTGTTGCAAGCTGTTTGAGGCAGTGCCCAGGGGTTGAAGGGAGGGTCATTTGCTGCAACTCGCGTGAGCTGTGAGGTGGCTTTCGGCTTTTGACGCATCACTTGCGTACCAGCAAAAAGCTCGCCCAGGCAGTCGAGAAAATCGTGGACGTGGGCGAAATACGCTTCTCTCAAAGATCAATCAAGCGAAGGTTTCAGGAGAGTGAAACATCACTTGCCAGTGCATGATTGCGCATAGCTGTGAGCTCACTGGGGCGCGTGAGCTTACTGGGGCGCGGACCTGAAACCAAAGCCTTAGAGGTCCTGTGATTGGATGTTGTCAGGAACATGCGTGTCACCCATCACCCCTAGAATGAGATGGGTTTCCTCTCTTTAAGGCACTCCCCCAAAAGCCAAATTGGGGGTTTGCCCGTGACATCCCAGAATGCATCGCTTTGCAGGACGGAAAGACATTTGAGGACCCGGCGAGTTGGCTCGAGTTGCATCGGTGAGATCGAGGTGAACTCAGTGGGACCCAGGCAATAAGCCGGCAGCAACTCCCATTCTCAAGGCCCACTGAAAAAGCTCCCCACCGTTTTCGTTTTCTTTGCTACATTTTTCTGGTGGAGCCGCCTTTTTTTCTTTTTTTTCTCCCCAGGAGTTGTGGTCCGGGTTGCGGAACGGAAGCGTCAATCCCATGACGTCGCCCTTCTTGATTCTCACGGTGGTGGAGAAGGCAGACTCGCGGGGCCGCAGGGCCCTGTACTCCAAGGACCGCCATTTTCGACGGAAAGCGACCCGTGGTTACCTACTCCGGGAGGTCATGCAGGCGTTTTCTGGGTACAGAAACTGCACATAGATCAAGCCCAGTTTTGTTGGGAGAATCGAGCAGAGCTCGTTTGGAGACAGCCAGCCAGACCAAACACAAGAAAGCCGAGCTTTGTATTGGTGGACCAACCTTGGTCAGATGTTCGAACCAGACCCAAACACTGCAACGGAAACACGAGGAAACCTGTTTTTTTTGCTGATTGGCCAAGTTGTTCGTAGATGTTTCAGCGGCTTGTTATGACAAGGCGTGGAGTTGTGTGTTGGGAGGCCGCAAATGTAGGCTGCGGGAGATCGAAACATTTGTGCCAAGCGCGTTCACCTCTTTTCATGTTTCCTACCAACATAGGATGAGAGACAAATGATGGTGACTGAACAAATGATCCTGCCTCAGAAATGAGATGAATATTGACAGATCATGCGCTCGCCTTCTTTCCATCGCTGCGAGTGAGAGTGTCAGGAGAATCGGCGACTTTATTGCCTCAAGGAGCACCAGAAGCGCGTCGGAGGACTGAACATTTTTCCAACAGCTTGGGCATGTTGGGCTGTGAGGATTTCGGCAGGAGCTGAGAGACGGGGATCTCGAGCGATACAGCTTGCAGGCTGTAGCTTCCAAGCGGTACCTGAGCCCTCGAGGGCACATGCGCTGGTTGGTAATGTTGCTTTCCGTTTTGCCCCGATAGATTCCCAGACTAAGTGACATTAGGCAAGTTGATTGGAAGGAGAATTGCCCGTCCGAGTTCGCATCCTGGCGTGGCACGACGTGGTGGATGCATGCAAATTTCAAAGGACGCGGGTCGTTGTCATTTCGGACGTTGTCAACATCACAAGGTGGCACCATATTTGACACGCCCACCCCCCCCCCCCGCATTTGTTTGCTGCAAATGGAGTCAGCCTGCCTGTCCTGTGCAGGAATTATGACACAGAGACAGACGGCGTTGAAATCGCAGTTCGCTAGCATGGGAACAAAGACGCCGCGACCGCAGGTCACGTGGCCTGTCCGAAAGAGATCTCAGATCTCGGTTGTTCAGTTGCGTTGTTTCTTCTTGGTGGGGTGCCCCTCACAAGATGCTCCCAAAATGAAATGGCTGTGGTTGTCAAAACCAACGGTACCATTTTGGGGGAGGCGCACCACCCATTTTAATCTTTAGTGGATTGGGATGTTCACTGGGGGACGATTTTGATTTTGACCCATGGCCAAATGGCCCGCTTTCTCTTCGGGCCACTGGATGCAAGTAGAGTCAGATGCGTTTTCGCTGGCTGAGACTGGCTCAAGACTGGATGTGACGTCCAGAGCTGGCCATGTGGAGCCCGGCTCCTCACGCGCGGCCTGTGGCCATGTGAGCCCTGACACCATTGAGAGGTTTTGGGGTGGATTAAAGGGAGCCGGTAGTAATCAAAGGGCAGCATGCACCCCCCCCCCCCCCAATTTCCCATGTTCTTTTGGGGAACTCTCAGTACTTCCTGTGGCTCCCTTTTTTAGGCCGCTTCTGCGGCCTGGCCAGGCACGACGCACGTCATGCACCTGGAGGCGATGATCGGACGATTCCGATCCCCGAGCGAATGACCTCGCAAGGGATGTGGGGGTTGATCCAAAGGTCCAAAACACATGGGACCATTGGAGACGACCACTAAGAGGATGATATGTCCCACTCAATGGGAAACGTTACCCATGGTCATTTGGGGGCCCCACATGGAATATTGATCAACCCCCCATAGTGATGAAGAGCTCATCGAGCCGGAGATTTCTGCTTCGGGATCTGGGGTTCTGAAATCTTTGCCAGGATACACATCGCAGTCCTTCAGGATCGAGGCAGGAAGCCTCGTCGAGTCTGCCAGTCGGAATCGAGTCGATAGGTCCTACCGCTCGAGTCTGCCACGATTTTAGGTGCGTGCGCCAACCGCAAGTTGTGTGTTGAACAGTGAGGCACGCTAAAATTCAGTGGCTCAAGCTTTCCTGCCAGTTCGCTCCCACGGCTTCCCGGCCTTCATGAGCCCCTGCCCACAAACAAAGGAAGGAGAGATTGGCGAAGGGCCCCTTCTGGAACTGAGCGAAGCTGAGTGGAACGATGACTGGGTGCACGAGTGGAAGTACACCTTCGTGTGCATGAAGGACTCCTGGGAGCACCAGCTGCAAGAATCCATACACGCCCTTCAGCTCGGAACGCAGGAACCATATGGACGAGCTACGCGTAGGAAAAGCTGCAGCACACAGAGGATCAGCTTAAGACCAGGAAGCAACTGAAGGAGCTTGTTTCTAGAGGGGAATTTCACCGGTTTCTGGACCGGTTTGCCGGTCGGTTTCTGGGGGGCTTCGGCTGGAGTTGGACCGGTTTTTAGAGGGGATCTGCCTTCTAGACAAAAAATGTGGTTTGGGGTTGACCGGTGTGTTTGCCCGGTGGGCTTGGGCCTCAGAAACTTGTTTCAGAGAGCCTTGAGCCAGCTGGAGCATGGGCTTGGGTCGCGGGACATGGGCCGGGGGTGACAGACAATTTTTGGGGGTTGGTGATGGTTTGGATTTAAACTTTTCAATGCTCTCAAAGCGTGCGAGAGACGGTCAAGCTGAAACGCGACATGAGTGAGAATGCAGAATAATCCACAACTGCCACCCATGACAACAAAGGCTCTGTATTCAATCATGTTTGTTTATATACAAAGGGGTCTCTGACCGCAGGGGCCGAGGCGAATTAAGATGTTTAGTAAACATTTTGTAGCTAGCGCCGCCCCTTGTGACCCCTTATGCGGCATGAGGCGCGTGTGCATGGTCAGCGTTCCGACGCATGCCTTTTTCAGCAACTGGTGGAAAGCAGGCAAGCAAACGCAGAAAAAAAACAAATGTCAAATTCGTATAAGTATGTTTTGCGGTGGATGCATAGGTGGCATCCATTGGGCACCCTTCACTGTTGGGACTGCAATCCACCAGGTTCATGGGTCAACATCACTCGGTGCCCTTTGTGCCCGCGCCCTTTGTGCCCGCGCTCGTCTGAGAAAAGCCACCGGCGCAAATTCGTCGCCTCGTGAGGCGCCTTCCGCGCCTTTCGTGGCGCCCAGGCGGGAGGTGTTGCCATGTTTCCACTGGAAGTGGATTGGGGTGGGGGGGGTGGAAAAAAGAAAAAGGCTAGGCCAAGAAAAGCAGAAGGCATCGCGGAGAAATGCAGCAAGTTTAGAGCTCGGCTGAGATCTGAAGATTTAGCAGGGAACCCCCTCAACCACGGCTGGTGGACATACACCCTCTGGTACATGATGCGCCGGTCATGAAAGCACACCCATCCATGCTCAGGCAAACAATCAAAATCTTTCTCGAACAACCAGCATCTTGGAGCCTTGCAGGCTGACACTGTGTCAAAGTCGAGCAAGGAGCAGCGAAGTGTGTTGCCCAAAGGCGTTTCAGGCGATTGAGTTACAATCAAGTAGGGCTCCAAACTGAGAGACTCGCGGTCAAGCGTGCACAAAAGACTGCGGTAAACTGGCGTTTTGGAGAAACCGGCTTGATAGATTTGCTTGAGCGCACCGAAACCACTGACGTTGCGGGTGAACAACTAGGTTGCAGACCATGTGTTTGTGTGTCTCGTGTGTCTCGTGTGCCTCGTGTGTCTCGTGTGTCTCGAGTGTGTGTGTGTGTTGCGAAACCAGGCGAAAGGGTGCAACACCTGATCATGCATTCAGTCACTTGCCTTTCTTCCAGAAGCCATGATGTGTAATTTTCACTGGTGCTTTGGGCTTCGGGCTCGCTCCCGCCCGCCTTCCCGGAAGTGGAGATTGGCCCGCCTGACGATTATCCATTGGACCCGGGCTATTTGTTCATTCTTTTTTTTTTGGGGTTGTCAAAGTCAGAATTGCTTTCCGTTTAACCCACCACTAGTGTAGAGGATGACCTTGATGGTAACATATGATTCGGCCAGCTGGATTGTAGCCTTCCACCCGTTTGGAAGTCTTTTGCGGCCAAGTTGCCATTCGCCAGGATGGTCTCCAGCCCCGCGCGGGATGTGCTCAGCCAGACCTGCGCCCGGCAGGCTGAGCAACAAACACACAATTGATTGGCACCTAGCACAGAGTTCATCTTATTATGCTTTACTTTCAATAATTATAGAAGTCCTTCAGGAGCGCCCCTCAAGTTCTTGGACCCCTTCTTTTGTACCAGTTTTGTTCTTGCTAAAGTACTCTGACTACTACTCATTTAATCGATTCCGACCACTCCAGACTCTTGGATAGAAAAAAGAAATACTAGCTTCCTTATGTTCTCCTGACATGGCTCCAGCAAATTGAAGAAGCAGATGTAAGAGAGCAGCGCCCAATCCTTTGCAGGTGCCCCCGCAGGCTGTCCACATGCCGGTTGGAGGACCCGCCGTGTGTCGTCGAAAAAAAAGGTGCGCTCTGCGGGCGAATTTGCGGATCTGGCTTGAACAAATCAGCAGAGTAACATTTGGAAGCTTGGAGGTGTAAGTGAGGCATAGGACGTTTGCAAGCTTGGAGCCTTCTTCTGCGAGTGCGACAAGGACCGTGATTTGTCCACACTTTGCTTCAGCGAGGAGTACCGGGCAATCGCTCCCCGTACGTGCGCCGGGCGCCGGCTCCCTTGCCTTTGCGCCCCTTGGCACGAGGGCAAGAGGAAACCTTGAGAGACTCTGAGCGAGTTGAGAGCAACAGCTGGCTCCTTCCTTGCTTTCTCTTTTGCGGTCATCCAACAGACTCTGCGAATTCAGAGAGAGAGAGAGAGAGAGAGCGAGAGGGAGATGTGCTGGTTGGGTAATTAGGGAGGAAGATATCAGTTATTTTTTCGCCGTGAGGCTGCGCGGTGGGTTCCCCGTGCTCCCGAATGATCGTCCGCACCACGACCACCTCGCCCCGGCGCGAGCTGCCGCGCCCCGCCACGGCACCCCAGTCGACTGCGGTGCCGCGGTTGGAGCTTCGCCCAGTGCCGGGCCGGGTGCTGGCGGTGCGCTCGCCTTTGTCGCCCGCGCTGGCGCGGGTGGGCAGCCCCTTGCGGGTGAGCCCCAAGAAGATGGCTAAAAGCCAAGAGGATCCCAAGGCCAAGATCCCTGCAGCGCCTGCGCCCGCGGTGCCCGCGGTGCCTGTGGCGCCCGCGGTGCCTGCGGTGGCGCCCGAAAGTCCTGACAGGCAGGTTGAGAAGGAGCTGCAAGAGCTCCAACAGGAGCTCCAGGTGCTCCACCAGGAGCTCAGTCAGCTGCCGAAAGAGGAGCTTTCCAACGAAAAGGATGAGACGGAGAAGGCGGAGGGCCTGCAGGGCCAGCTCTCGCAGACCTCCACCATCGCCCCGGAGGACGACCGGGTCACGCGCACCGTGCGTGCGCTGCCGCCCCGGCCCCAGCATGCGCCGGAGAAGGCGGAACGGGAGCGGCTTGAGCCGCTGGTTTGGGAGTGTCTGCCAGACAGGCACCCCGTGGAGGCGGGGGAAAAGACTTGGGGATCAGAGGGATACTGTGGACGAAGTCCGTTTCGCACCACTTTGAATCCATGGGACACCTTTGTTTGCTGGTATTGACAATGGAATCATCATTCCAGGGTGTCTTGCGTGGTGCAGGATTTTGTCCATCCACAGTAGTTGCGGCGGTGCGAGCGCCTCTTTGCTCAGCAAAGCCCTTGTCAATTGCTTCAGAAACGTCACCTTCACGACGTCCGCGCCTTTCTGCGTGAGAGCAGGTCCGGCCCAGCGAGAGGCCAAGCGAACAGGAATCTTGGAGACCGTAGAATGACCCTGTCTTAGAGCGAGCAGCAAACCTTCGCGCTCAGCGTGCCAGTCAGGCCATGCGTGTGGGCCAAACCATCATTTGCAATGAAAGGTGTTTCTGCCTTCAACACATCGGGTGAATGCCCAGATTGCGGTTAACATTGCCAAATGTCCTGTCAACCTTTGCACGTACATTTCATTCCGTGGCCATAAAGCTCCTCCGAGTAACGCTTGCCCTGGCTGTTCACCCATTGAAGCCACCTAGAACCTTCACCAAGTGAGCAAATCCTGGATGGAGATTCGTCTTGCCAGGGCCGAAAAGAGCGAAACAAGGTTTGTCCACATACAACCGTGTGACACGTCCCGCGGAAAGAAAAGGAAAAGAAGAAAATAAACAAAAACAACAACGGCTGAAGAGCTGGCTGACTTGAGAGCATTTGTGGCTTGTCGCTTCTCGAAAAAAAATGGTCCGCTTGGGCCAAAAGGATGCCGAAAACTTGGTGGCTCCCAGCCACCCCCTGAGCTTTTTAGCCTTTTAGTGCTTAGTGGTAGTTTCCATTTAAGCCACAAAAAGATAAAAACTTTTAGCAGGGGATCTGAGCGCAGCCCAGAAAAGGAAAACCTTGCGGCCCCTTGGGTTCGAGACAGGCGGAGGGGGAGCGGCACTTTGTGGGCGCCTGCTTGGACGCGCTGGCGGACACCATGGCGGAGGCCGGTGGCGTGCAGAGGCGAGCAGGGAGGGGAAGGGGAAGGAAGGGACCCCGTCTGGATTGATTTGGCCATGGGTCAAAACCCGGTACCCAGTAGTGAACATCCCAATCCCCACGAAAATAGGCTGAAATGGGTGGTGCACCTATTCCAAAATGGTACCATTGGTTTTGAACCATGGCCATTTGCTGCTTTGTTTTTTTTGTTCAGCTGAATCGGTTTTCAGATGATGTTTCTCTCCAGTTTTGTTCAGAGTTTTGTTCAGAGTTTTCTCCACGTTTTCCTTTTTAGTTCTCCGGTATCAAAGGCGAAGCCCCCCCGGTCCGACATGTCTTGGAACGTTGGCGAGGAAGGCGCTTTGGATTGACAGCTTGGCAGCGTGGAATGTGTTGTCCTTCTAACGAGGCTGATAATGATTAGATTTATCAAGACAGTCACATGGTTGTTCTCAGACTTGGCTTTCAATATATGGGCCACATCAAACAATTGCATTGACCAGCAAGACACACAATCACAGATCGTGAGATGAGCTTTGGCTGGGGATGTTTTATGCATTTGCAAGGTGGGTGTGGCTCAAAACTACGGATCCAGAAACCACAGATGTTGTTCTTGTTATCCTACAAACTGAAAGTTGGGGGGAGACCTCTTTGGAGCCAAACTGGTTGTGATCTTCGGCTGATTGAGGTACATGAGCGCGGGTCAGCGGGCCTACCAGTGGGCCGTTTGCAAGGCCCAGGAGCGGGACGTGCTAGTAATGCGCTTGCCATTGGGCTCCTTAAAAGAAATTCATTTTGCAACCAATTGAAAACATGTTGCTTTTTAACACCAAAATAAAGTTGGAAACCACCATATACAAGTTGCAATGTTCAGGTGTTTTTCATGTAAGGAGTATTGTTGGGGGCGTATTGCACGTTTTTTTGGGAAAAACGCTGCTCCATCCCGGTGTTGCGTTTGCCGCGGGAGGGCGCCGGAATTTTAAGCGGGGTGTTTGGTCCATGGCAACTCGCGCTTTGTGAGGCATTGGAAGCCTGACGTGGCTGGCTTGGACCTTTGGATGAGCTTGGCTTGACCTTTAGAAACCGACCTGTTGACAGGATGAGGATCCTACCATGCCCGCGCTGCGCTGGGCATTGGAGGAGAACCGTGAGATCACTTCATTGCTTCTTGTCGTCTCAAGCTTGTCGTTGTTGTTTTGCTTGTTTGTGTGGCCAGCCTCGTCGAACACCAAAACGGCCTTGGTACCCACACGTGTGACGAGAAGCAGCAAGTATTTTCATCACTTGGCATGAGCTTGGGATCTCAAAAGCCATCAGTGTCGCTGGGTGGGGTATGTACATTCGCTTCCCATTCGTCCTTCAACGAAAATTCAGACCCCTCGAAGAGTGCTTCTCTTGTAAACTTAGTTCGTATCCGAACTAAGCGGCACTAACTTCTTATCCTTACTCCGCCCGAAGCGCTCTTCTCCCGTGGGGCTGAATCGGGGGATTCAACACCTCGTTCCAGTATGTTGGGCAGCTCCTGGTGCAAATCAAAACAAAAGACTGAAACACTTTGGCTTGGCAACTGCCAACAATGGCACCTTGGCCCATAGCTCTATGTGCGAAGCGCAACCGCCTGATGGTGGACTCGATCAAGTCTGCTCGAAAGCGCAAGCGTGAAACGTGGGTTTTGATCTTGTCTCTTTCTCCAAAGCTCCCGCAGACGCCATGAAGGCTCATAAATCCTTCTTGTGCCACGGGTTTTACTTCCACTCGGTTCTCTGGTGTCGGACGTCATGGCATCATTATCGGCTTCATTCCTCCAATAAATGTCATGTTGGGACTAGCCCAACACAGCTTTTTGTTGTTGGTTTTCCGGGTCCCACAACTCACGCCTTGAACCGCGAGGACATCATCCAGAGTCGCGTGCGAACCGGGGCCCAGGGTGTTTTCGTGCAGCAGGGCTGGATGATGTCCATGGGCAACAAGAAGGTGGTGAAGCTCTGTTGCAGGCAAGCGGGCTGAACCTGGTCATAGTTGCCTCTGGATTCGCGAAAGGAAACCTGAAGTCCAAGCATTTGTAGTCGGGTGCTTTTGGGTGTTGTTCTGTTGGGTTGCTGAGGCCCCGAAAATCGCAAAATGGAGAGCTCATTGATGGCTCCAGGAGTTCTCTCACATCGCTGATGCATTGTTAGATCCGCGCCGTGTAGGCTGTCAAGTAGTGTGCGGTTGTTGGCATTCGATATTTGCCGTTTCTTCTTGAGTCGGTACGCATAGGAAGCAACTCAAGCAAGTATGAAGTTGATTGAAAGGCTTGAGCTCCAAAACTCTTCGCACGTCTCGCGAAAGGAGGCGCCTGGAAGGCTTGGCATTTTCTCCGCGCAGGTGTGAAGGTTCTGAGGGGAAGCTCTCGGTTTGTTGGGACTGGGACGTGAAGCTTGAGCCCAAGGAGAAGTGAGCGATGGTAGACATTTAAGCTGCCTCGGCCGTACACATTGCTCAAGGTGGATCACTCATATCTCTTTGTATATATGCACTATATATAGCATTCTTTTGCATGCATGGCTCAAGCTCAACCTTGACGGCAATCAGACTCTCACGGTTGTTTTCTGATCTTGTTTGTTTGTTGCCTTCTGCAATAGCCTGTCTCTGCGATGATCCTCGTTGACATGATCCTGCTTAGGACTAATCTTGCAGCAAGCAAAAGGCAAGCAGCATGTACAGTCCCAATTCGGGGTCTTGACTCGGCAATTTGCTACACCATATCCGACAGACTAAGCCTATGACTTGAACTACCAAACTGAGCTTTTGAAGGTGGTGCGACATGCTGCACTTTGAACGAGAGCTCGGGCTCAGCTTGCTTCCCCGAAATACGTGCCTATCTGGCACGCGGCAAATTGCAGGACTTAATTAGACAGATCCCGGGCATTGCGAGGCATGTCTGCCGATGTGCTTCTCGTCATACTCAGAACAGGTCCGGATACCAGAGAGATGCCATCGAGGCATTGGCAGCATGGGATGAATCTGGGCCTGGCTTGCCAGGCTGGGGGAACCATCCACCAGGCTCAGAAAAGTGGCCGCAGGCAAGTACCTCGTTTGAGGTTGCCGCTTCCCTGCTCACGATGTGGAGCAATAGTTACATGTATCCCTTTCTCTCTCTCTCTCTCTATATGATAGATTTGTGTGCGTGTTCCTGCAGTGGACCGGATGAATCAGGAAGCAGACACCTGGTTTTCTCACGTAGGATATGAGCTAGCAACGTTGAAGCGCATACTTGTGAACCAACGCCGACTTACTTGCAGGCTGGCCGGGCCACGCAATCAAAGCAACAACACGGCCCGCAAATCATGTGTGTTTGCCGTAGGGGCATGCTAAGCACAGTTGATGTCGGCTGGCTTGTGCACAGCTTTGGCTACAGGGGCAAAGAAGAGTCCTGCTATGGGCCCTCACATCCACACACAGGCCCAGCAGGCAACGCAACGCATGAAAAAGCCATGAGCCAGACCAGTCATGGCATCTCCGATTCCCCTCCCTTCCACTAAAATAGCGCCTGACACACATGTTAGGTACCCTCCCACAAATGCCATGTCTGGAGGAAGGCTAGACGCTGTTTCAAGAGTCACGGTGCGCGGGGGCGTTTCCGACGATGGCCTCTCTGGATGATCTGGACCGAGAGCTTCTCGAGGCCGAGCGGGCGATCCAATGCATCGAGGAGTCGGCTTGCAAGGCGCCAGGTGAGCCGCGTCCTCAAAACCCGGGCAGATGGAGGTTTTAGGAAGGGATACTCCCCTTAATTTGCTGCGGATATCCGCCTTCTTAATTCTTGAAGCATGCTGGGATTACGACGATTTCAATACCGGGTTTTGATGACTCAGGTGTCGGCCCAGGCGATCGGTTTTATTTGTTCCCCCCGGAATAAACTCTCCAATGTTTTGGTGGGCATAACTCCCCATGGAAGTGACGGCCACCAAAGAGCCTTCAACAACAAAAACATACTGGGCCGCGCGTGCGGGTTGCAGGAGCAGCTGCAGGGGCTGTCCAGCAACGTCCCAAAGGCGGATGCAGGCAGGACAGTCATGTGACCAAGTATCCAATATCAACTAGCCTGTGGTCCATCTGGAAGGATGGGACTCACCAAAGTCTAAGTTTTCCATGTGGGGGTGTGATTTGTTTGGGGCAAAATCATACAACACCATAGGGGTTTGGCTGTCGGGCAAAACACGAGTTCCCGGCGATAAGTCCCGCGCGAGCTCTCCCCAGGCATTAGCATTACCCGTGGGGCGCCGGACAAGGCGCGGACTCTGTTTGGAACCGAACTGAAGGACTGGGGTTGGGCAACGACATGACTTGGCCCTCTTTCAAAGGACATGGAGGCTGTTTGATTGATGGTTTAAGCATGTTGGCAGAAGCGGGCACCTTGGCGGAATCCACAGGATTGGTTCAGCCCGGCTGTTAGAAGAAAAATCCTCAGATGCCATCTTTGCAGCCCAAAGATGCCAAGCACAGTTTACTTCCATCCATTTGTGCCAAGCGCAATGCTGGAAAAGGGGCCTTTTTCCCCACCCCCTTGCCCTTCTGTCTCACTGGCCCCCCAAAAGCCTCCTGCCGAGAATGCGCCGTCCTCGTTCTCGGAAGCCTGGTTCGGGGCCCGGGGGCTGTGACTTTTTCGGAGGGCACCCCTTAGCCACAGGACCTTTGGCGCATTTTGCTTGGATGTCAGGACTTTAACTTTTTGGGGTTTCCCATCAAACCACTAGAAGTGAACAGTTAAACCATTTCCATTTCCATTAAACCACTTAAGCCATTTTCCACTAAACTACTAAGGGGAGCAGAAAGCCACCGAGGGAAAACCAACGCGAAGCGCTTCGAAAAAGGTGCCTGGCCGCTGGTGCCGCGCCGGCGCACGGCCCAGCTGGAGGCCCTCCTATGAGAAATCCCGCAGGTCTCAAAGGATTCGCAAGTCCACCAAAATGGCTTTGGCTTCGGAATTTTTCCCCGAGGTTTTCCACGTAAAGAACCACTCAAAGAGGAGCCCGCGAAAAAACGAGAGAGACCTTTGGGTATGGCTCAAAATTAAAGAGTTGGGGTTGCGCGGGTGTTTGTCTTTGGTTTTATTTGCCAAGGTGCCATTCTGGTACCACTTTTTTGAGTTACAGTGATTTGAAGGCCCATGTTGAAGGCCAGGCAAGTGGAACCGAAGGCCAATGGCCAAGTCGGCCACCTGCAAACCACCTCCCGGATCCAACATGGAAGCTGAGTCAGGAAGGCCATCAGCTTCCACTTCCATTTGCTGAAAAAAGTTGCGTGTGTGTGTGTGTGTGTGTTTTTTTTCAGCTGTTGGTTTTGATAGGAGCAACATGTGTGTAAAAAGTACAGGTCTTCCAGGCAGGCACGTGTCGGAGGGTAAGACTTCCTCCTCCTTTGCACTACTTTCCGAAAGGTGCAAGCTTCGATCGGAGTCTTCCTGCCGCAAAAGCCGGACGTCTTTGTGCTCGATTTGGCCGTGAGGAACCAAACAGTGGGAAGCTAAGGGGGAAAGAGAAGCAACTGCGGACTGAGAGTGGCTCCTGAGCACCTGAGATCAAGCCAACATCACCCAGCCACGCACACTCCACAGCTCTACCGCGCGCGCAGAAACGCCTATGGAGCGATTTGTGCTGCTCAGCCTTGCTGCGTGTGGTGCCGTTCCTGTTGTGGAGGTTTCGGTGGAGGCGTGGCGTCCAAAAATCCGGAACGCATGCGCAGATGCACATGTGGGCCATGTCAAGTACGACCCCAGATATCCCCTGACTCTCATTCATTGATTCGGCCATAGTATTTTTTCCCCGGTTTAGTTGGGAGGGGAGGGAACTTTTCAATTTCAACCAGTGCAAGGCTCACGAACTTCGCTCCGTGGTCTTCTCTTTTGTATGAACACAGAGTGCAAGGTGCCAAATGTTGCCGGAAAAAACAAACACACACACACACACACACACACACACACACACACACACACACACACACACACACACACACACACACACACACACACACACACACACACACACACACACACACACACACACACACACCAACACCCACACACACACACACACACACACACACACACACACACACACACACACACACACACACACACACACACACACACACACACACACACACACACACACACACACACACACACACACACACACACACACACACACACACACCACACACACACACACAACACACACACACAACACACACACAACACACACACACACAACACACACACACACCACACCACACACACACCACACACAACACACACACACACACACACACACACACACACACACACACACACACACACACACACACACACACACACACACACACACACCCAAACACACACACACACACACACACACACACACACACACACACACACACACACACACACACACACACACACACACACACACACACACACACACACACACACACACACACACACACACACACACACACACACACACACACACGCGCACAACACACAACACACAACACACAACACACAACACACAACACCCAACACAAAACACACAACACAAAACACACAACACACAACACACAAAACACAACACACAAAACACACCACACAACACA